ACTTTTATAAAATAAAGTTTGATAAAAGAATGTCTTAAAAAGAAAATTAAAAATAAATAATTAAAAAGAAAATTTGTGTGTACGCGGATGCGTCGTGCTTTTATGATGACGCCGATATTTCATTGCCTATGGTATACGTTTGCACGCCGTGCTTAGTGAATAACGCTAGTACGAGGCTTTCGCACTGGTTGTGCTAGGATTGATAGCGGGGTGCGCGGTGTAAGGCCGGCCGCGTGTGCTAGGTTGCGCTGGTTGTAAGGCAGCGAAGACCGAGGATATGTAGCAGGCAAAGGGTGTCAGCATGGCTCAAGCTAGGAACGCGGAGATGTAGCAGGCAAAGCAAGCGTTGCGAGTAAAGGGAGAAGGATGTTCAGGGAGTGCGAGAGAAGACAAGCCAGAGTGCAGTCGAGTACCTACCTATAGAACACGACAGAGAGACGAGAGTGGTAACGAGGAGAAGTAGAGATCTAGAGACGATATTGCACTGTATAGTTAGCGAATAAAGTTGAGAAGATTTTGAATTAGAGACATTATGCGGAGTTATTTCGAAACAAACTTGTAAAAATACTGTTTTAAACAAAATGTTTTAAACTTTGAAACACAAAGTTTTTAAATAAAAACTTTTCCAATTTTAGTGTGTTACAAAAATTAGCAGGTTAAATACGATTTAGTACAATATCAAATCAATGTAGACATTATTCACACCAGTTAGTGTGCTGATGCAAATATTTGCATTGATTTGTGAAAGTTTAGACTTATGGGCAGAAGTATATTTAGTATTGTCGCTTGCTACGCTGTGTGTGAAGTCAGCGAATGGTGTTGCCTACTCAGTTTGGTTTCGTTGCGACTGGTAGAGGCGGACCGCGCCAGGCAACAAATTTCAGCCGCACGGCACGGTCTCCACCAATGAATATTTCAACGGACCGCCTTAAGCAAACGGAAATATTCCAGGAAACCAAGCTCGATATTGCTACTTTTTTGTTTTATATTTATGGTTATTTATTAAAAATAACATACAATTATTATTTTATATTTCATTTGTTTTTAATTTCTCTTCTTTCATTTTTGTACTTATTTTGATCTGGCACCCGATCGCGCCACCAGTGTTGAAAGTCATGCATCTTCACGCACACGAAGTGTTTGCATGTGCGTGTGCATTTTAGGCGTGCTTCACAGATTTTCGCCAACGAACCCGAGTAACTGGCGGGAATCAGTCTGTACCCGTTCATCGTCGGGTGCACGTCGTGCGGAGAAAAATACTTTCAACAGTCGTGACAAACACAACCACATAAATTTGATTAATCGGATTTAAAAACAAGAATGCGAATATCGGCCTCAACCATAATTCAAACAGAATCTACACTTGATTGATTCGGTGGTGCATTCGTGTAATTTCGGCATCACTGCAGCAGTGTGTGTCTGCAAAACTAAAAAACACTAAAGTCACTACTTCGCGTTTTGCACTAGGATGACGCCGGCGTACAAGATGTCCTCTTCCTGCGCCGACCGTTATCGAGTCTACAAGTGTTACTGTTTGCTCTGCTGAAATATTTTTGCAACCGTATAAAAATCAAGTGGTGAATACTGAAAGTGATACAAATACGACGAGGAAGAGCACGACAGGTAAGAAGTCATAGTTATTTTGGCGATATTTTGAGATTAGTCGCGTTATCTTGTGTTTTTCATGTTGCGGATCGGCCGTCGGCTCAACCGCCATGCGTCGTACCTGTGCGCTTGCCGTGTTGAGCCGTGTAAGTTGTGCAACCAAGTCGGCCATATTGTGCATTTGTTCTTTGTGCTGATAAGACGTCTGCTTGCTGTTTTTTCAAAATCCAATTGCATCTGAGTTCAAATTTATTGGAATGGCCTGGAATCGTGTCAAATCAACGCGGAAAGCAGTGAACGGTGAGTGTATCATAATATTTTTACGTTTTTATTGCGGATGTTCGCGTATTTTCAAAAATTCCACTCCGTCGTTAGTGGCAGCCACGTTGTGCGGGTCGCGTCTTTGCTTAATTGCTTCATATAAAACTAGTTCATTCCTTAATTCAAATGTAATTTAGTAGTAGTATCAAATTTAAACACAGATTTCAATAGGAATAACTGGTTTATACAGTGGAATTCCGGAAATCCAACAATCACTTTGCAGGGCAGTGTCGGATGAGCGAATTTGTCGAATATAGAAGACTGCCTAAGACTAAAAAAAATACCTTATAATCCGACAAATTACAATTGCTAAAGTACAAACATATGGCATATGACCATGTCGGAATACAATATGTGCCGAATTAAGCCGGGTCCGGGTTATCGGGATTCTACTGTAATGTTTAGTCTGCATGCTCACTCAACCCTGACCAAACAGAGGTAACTGTAGTCTGGGTTTCCAGCTGCTCCAATGTCCTGTTTTTATTGGCACAGATTGAGAATTACAAATTTGCAAGAAACCTTGACCGCAATCATATTACAGGCATAGGGTATTTGTAGACCGAGCAAAACTACCTGAATGATACAATGTTGCAAAACAAATAAGAAACACAATACTAATACCGCATTATTTCTTTTCTAATGTGAGTTTTCAACAAATATTCCACCATCACTGCACGACACGGAAACACCCCATTGGCTGGAAACAATTTCAACCCTTATTGTGCACCCCTACAGAGAGGGTCGTGCCCGTTTAGTAGGGCGTACTACAACTACCTGTTGTTTGTTGCTCCTCCTCACAACGGGATGATACCATGAATAACTGTAGTCATTGGAACAGCTGACGACGAATAACATGAATGCACACTTTCATAATGGAGATGCAATTTACCTACCTGTGGGCCATTGATCGGAAAATAATCTTGGTGCTTTTCGGTTTCTGTGTGTTTATTAACATATTTCTACACAAGTTGTTCTTGTGGTGAAAGCAGTGAAGTGACAAAGAGTGTAGTGAAGAACAAAGTGATTTGTAAGTAAAACAATTAAACACTAATACTAATTGGTCTCTCTGCTTGCTTTTCAGGTCGGATGTGAACTCGGGTCGCGATCATTAATAGTAATTAAGTATTCGTACATTATTCGAGTGCGCGTCGCGAATAGTAACCGAAAGTGCGAGAGTAAACCGAGTGCGCGAATGGAATCCATCCATCCATGATGAGAGGGGCATCGTTGGACCTCTTCTAGCTTCCTACCAGCGTTGGACAACGGGGGAGTACTCGACGCATCCTCCAGTGAAACAAGACGAATGATCCCTGTTTCATGGAGCCGGATTAAAGGTAGGTGTGGTGATGCCCCTAATCGGAGGGTGGCAATTAGTGCCCCTGACTGCTTCACGTGCCAGTATATTTGCTGCTCGTGTGTCAGCCCAAGGGGAATTCCACTGATTGCTATGACCTTGGTTATGGGCTAATCCACCCAGCATAATAGGTAAGATCGCCTGATGTCTAAGTAGTGAGTACACCTGACACCAAACTGGTTGTCTTGTATCGGTATGCGCTCTTTTGTCCCATCTGGACATTTCCCTTTGTCCGGATGCACAATTCTGCTTTCTGTTGGCAATTTGGGCATCCCAATCGCGGCATGCATTCGTCTCCCCTTTGCTAGTTCTTTCTATTTATGTACCTACATGTGTTACTTTGAGTTAACTTGCCATTCATTACTTCTAGTAAACATTTTCGATACTCGCGACAAATTAAAATAAATATTCAATCATAATTCAAACAAAATCTATTTGATCTTTTGTTAACTGATAAACAATTTCCACAACTTTTCTTTTATTTTGATAACATCACTGGTAATCACTTGCATTGTTGTTTCATGTTAACTCAAAGTATCACACTTTTCAGCATCGCGTCATCCGCGTTCGGTCGTTATTGTGAGCTTGGAGTCAATTCACATCAATTTCAATTCAATTGTCTATTTAATTTGATCATTAATTTGATTTTAGTTTTCTAATTTTCACATTTAATTTGATGACTCTGAGCTGTATTAATTATCGGGTCCGTCTCTTCGTAGTATGAATGTGTGAATGATATTGCTGTGTGCTCGGGTTGCTTTTATATTTGTGTATTTACCGGGCATTCCCGTTATGCCACTCTCATCACAGATCGCAAACGCGTCGCGATTTCCCCCAGTAGAACAACATGAATCGGTCTATGATGATCTAGCTAAGTATGTGATTAGGTAGGGCCAATTAGGCAGGGCACTGTCTTTCTCTCTCCCCCTGTGTGAATGTGTGTTCAGCTACTAATCATTTTCCGTTTTCAGAAGTCCCCGCGAATTAGTTCCGCGTGCGTTATCGTTGTTAGGCCCTTTCCTTTCCTACAATAATGTCTCACTTGCCTTTCAGCTGCAGCTGCACTCTTCTACCTCCACTTAGATGTCATCAATAGCGGTAATCTTTCTTCTTTCTAGAGTAGTTTGATAACTTGGCGAGGTGTTCATTATTTGCTTCACATTAATACGAACAGACTGCCAAGTTATCTTTAGAATGAAATAGTAGATACAATAGTAGTTAGTATCTAATCACATTTCTTTCAGCTCTCTTTCAGCCTTTCTTTCAGCATTACAACATTATTTCTCATTTCTATTGTCATGTAATGTATTAATGTGTGTGAGTGAATGAGTTCCTTCCTTTACCCCAAATTAATCTAATTTATTTCTTTTTAGCAGACACTTTTTAAGATTGTAAATAAAAATTCCAATTATTACATCTCTTCTTATTTATTAATACTAAAAAGAAGAAATGAGTAAAGTATAAAAGTCCGTAATATAGATTCACATGCTATTTACGGGGGTGGTTTGGTGGGCCTTTTATCTTTTACTTTACCACTCAACCAACTCCTTTTTCTTTTTTTGATATCTCTTTAATAACTCTTTCTTTTGTTTTCGTAGCACACACCCATGTGGTAATACAAATTCATATCGAAACAAAGTCGAGCATTCACCCGTTTTATAAACCAGTTATTCTCTTATACAGTTACACTACCACATTCTATTCAAATCCCCACTTGGTGTTCTGCCACCACATGCTCACTACACTTCACATGTGTTGCGGCGTGAGTTCTAACCTCAAAAGAAACAAGTGCACAACACTTCCACTCCTATTTTAATCGTCTTTAACCGTCATCATCATGCGTTATGCACAATTAGTAGTAGGCCCCGCAGGCTGCGGCAAGGTACGCAAAACAAACCAAACAATCACTCCAATCAACATCTCAAACATGCATAAATCTTTAGAGTACCTACTGCAGTGCACTCGTCCAGCACGGCGTCGACACCAAACGCACAATCGAAGTAGTAAACCTCGACCCCGCCGCAGAACACTTTGACTACCAACCAGTCGTCGACATTCGCGAACTCATCCATGTACAAGACACCATGGAAGATGAAGAGCTCCACTTTGGACCCAATGGAGGTCTCATCTTCTGCATAGAATATCTAGTAGAAAACTCAGACTGGTTACAGGAGAGAATAGGTGAACAGGAAGATGATTACCTTCTCTTTGATTGCCCAGGCCAGATAGAACTCTACACACATTTAACAGCCATCAAAAAACTAATCAACTTATTACAAAACTGGAACTTTAACATCTGCAGCGTATTCCTCATTGATGTACAATTCATGACTGATGGGGCAAAGTTTCTCTCTGGTACAATGGCTGCACTAAGTGTGATGGTCAATTTAGAGCTACCACACATGAATATCCTCTCCAAAATGGATTTACTCAGTAAAGGAGTAAGAAAACAACTGGATAGATTCCTAGACCCTGATTCACATGCAATCATGGGTGACATAGAACAATCGGGCAGTCATTTTGGTGAGAAACACAAAAAACTCACAGAAGCAATCGGGAAATTGATCGAGGATTACTCCCTGGTGCGTTTCACACCGTTAAATCTCAAGAGCCAGGAGAGTATTACAAATGTCCTGCTTACAATCGACAATATCATTCAATACGGTGAAGATTTAGACGTTAAAACGAAAGATTTCGAAGATGCCGACCCGAATGATGATTAATATAGTTGTTTTCTATTTACAACAACGTTTAATTAATTTAAATCTCTAGTTTCGGGTCTAATTAACGATACAAATGATCCGCTTGAATATTAGCGGCGATTTCCGACTCCCACTTGTCGCCGTTGTTGAGTAGCTTCTCTTTGTTGTACAACAACTCCTCGTGCGACTCGGTGGAGAACTCAAAGTTGGGTCCTTCGACAATTGCATCCACCGGGCATGCTTCCTGACAAAAACCGCAGTAGATACACTTGGTCATGTCGATATCATAACGCGTTGTGCGGCGGGATCCATCCGCGCGTTCCTCTGCTTCAATTGTGATTGCCTGTGCTGGACAGATTGCTTCACATAGTTTACAGGCAATACATCTTTCTTCTCCGCTCGGGTAGCGTCTCAGAGCGTGCTCGCCGCGGAATCGGGGACTGAGAGGTCCTTTCTCGAATGGGTAGTTGATAGTCGCGGGTTCTTTGAAGATGTGAGCGAGGGTTACACCTAGACCGCGGAAGAGTTCCGTCCAGAACATTGTAGCCGCTGCGCGGTCTGTCATTGACTTGAAGTCCATCTCGGGGAGTTTTGCGTTGACGAAGATGTAGCCTTCTTCTTTCTTGCCTTGTGCATTTCGGCTTCTGTCTAGTGCGGTGGAGGATACACTGAAGGGTCGAATGAAACGCGCACCTAAAATAACGTAAATATTAGATTTAGAGGTTATACAATGTCAAAATACGGATTTTTAGTTGAATTATTTCATTTGTGGACTTTAAAATGATAAATTACGTGTGGATTATAGTTTTACCTGTTCTGGCGACGTTGAATAATGTTATAGTCGACATTTTCAGTGTTTTCTTGCAAGAAAACTGCGCGATTATTACACAACCACCCAAAGATTGTGTTTTGACTTTTGACAATGATGTCGGAAATGGAAATATTCGTTCGTGTAAGTTCGGAAAACGAATAATTTTTGAGAGATCAATGTAAATTGGCTGGAAAATTGGCAGGAATTGACATATTTCTCATTCATTTCAAATTGCAAGTATTTTCAACATTTCCAAATTCTTAATCGCTGCGATGCACGTCGTACCCTCCAAATTTAAGTTGCTCGCCCGAAACGCGCACTTGCATTCCGTGTTGTTGTAAACACACAGCACGCACACACACCTTCACCGCACATCTATGGGCTTGCGCGACGCGACAAACACGACGCATACATGAAGCAGCAGCCGCAGCCAGCAACCCCACAATCGCACAGAAATACAAGTCACATTATTATACTAGAATCTTCCGCACGGCATGGAGTTGTTCAAGTTCGCATGTCCGAGATTGTTGGTGGTGCGTTTCACGACGACACCGCGTCCGAAATCGGCGGCCAGAGGATACGCTAGGTGAGCGTGTTTTGTGCAAGCGTTGGAAATTTTCCTAGGTTGATTCTATTTTAGATTGGCCGAAGTCGGGAAGTTAGAATCTCCCAAGTTGTCCGGACGTTATGATACAGGCCAGCTGATTCTGCATCGTGTGTTTGGCTATCGCGGCGTTGTTTTATTCCCGTGGCTAGCGCGTGTCTATGATCGTGACCTGCCGCAGCAGAAAGACGCCGATGAATTGAATCCGGCTGTTGTCAAGGAAGTGCACGGCAGGCAGCATCTTTTCTATCAGGTGTTGATTGATCAAAGAGATTGTCCCTTCATTGTGAGTCTTATATAAAACCAACCTAGGCAACCCAATATACATGAAAATGTACATGTTTCCAGCGAGCGCAAACCGAAGCGGTGACTTTTCTCGGTAATCAAGAGTCCTCGAGGAGTTTATACGCTATCCCAGGGTTGGATTATGTAGCACACGAGGATATTATGCCTTATACAAGCGCTGATAAAGCTCCCGTGCAGCACGAGTTGTTTGATAAGTTCCTCGCGCATGCGGGCGATAAAGATCCGCCGTTCATCGCGCAGGAAACACTCAAAGCCTGGCAGAATAAGAATCATCCATGGTTGGAGCTCTCGGACGTGCATAAAGAAACCACTGAGAATGTCCGCGTTACAGTGATACCTTTCTATATGGGTTGTAGGGAATCGCATGCGAGTAGTGTGTACTGGTGGCGGTATTGCATCCGGCTGGAAAATCTCGGCGCGTTGGCAGTGCAGCTACGCGAACGTCATTGGCGTATTTTTTCGCTCTCCGGCACGCTGGAGACGGTACGTGGCCGTGGAGTGGTTGGGCAAGAACCGGCTCTCACGCGTACTTTGCCGGCGTTTCAGTACAGCTCGCATGTGAGCCTGCAGGCGCCCAGTGGGCACATGTGGGGCACGTTTCGCATGGAGCGCGAGGATGGCTATACGTTCGACTGTCGCATACCGCCGTTTTCGTTGGAGAGCAAACCCGAGGGTGGGCCTGCTGCACCGCCAGGATCACTCTAACCCCCCATCGACTTGCTCATTACTTCTATTTGTACATAACTTAGCGATATACACGACGACGGATATGTAATTTATATTTTATATCTAAATACACTCTAAACATCCACGGGGAGTTTGTAAAGGCGGCCGGTGGTGGCGTCCAGGACAATGTTATCTCCTGTGCGGAAGGTGTTGAGGGCTCCTTCGACTCCTACTAGACATGGCAGGCCGTATTCTCGGGCGACAACAGCGCCATGGGATATTAACCCGCCTAGTTCGGTTACTACTCCTGATAACATTGGGAAGTAGGGTGTCCAGGCTACATCTGTGCCATGGGTCACCAATACATCACCCTGTTGCAGTTGGTCGATGTCCCGCAGGTTGTCTATGCAGCAACATCGAGCTGTTACTCTTCCAGCACACACTGGGGTTCCAGTTAACTCAGCTTCAATGTTAGTATACATTTTGCGTTGCTCCGGGGCTGGTTGTGGCATTCCGGAGGATATTTCTGGGAATTTGAAGGAGTTCCATGTTTCATACAGGCGTTTCCTCCGCATTGCCCTGGAAAAAATTGATTTATTAACGTTTTTTTGGTCATTTAATTGAATATTTTTATACTTTGCGATAGGGACTGGATCCGATTGTTTAGATAAATATTTTATCTCATCATAAGTTAGAAAATACACCAATTCAGGTTGTGGGATGATTTGTAGCTGGCACAGACGCTCCCCAAGGAGTTTAATTGCTCCCCGAAACGTGTTTATGTGTCTTACAACTTCGGATTTTGATTTTTCACGATTCACAACTCCCGCACGACATTTCCCAACCAGAAACTTCAAGAAACGTTTGTTCATCTGGCTGCCTAGTTGATTCACAACATCGTCAACGGATAATGGCGGCGCTTTTTTGGTTCCGTTGTTTAGTTTACCCAAAGTTTGCAACATTTTCACCAAAATATCCGTATTATTCCCCCAGGAAGTCTCCATCAATTCAAATTCCCTTGAAGATCGATGTCCGTGCTTTTGTAAAAACTTCTCATATTTTTTATAAGCTTCCGGTATGTCTTTTAATATCTCCTCGGCTTTTTTTGCTTCTGATGAAACAAAATCATCTCTCAACGGAGATTTACGTATTTCTGTTGCTATATCCTCTAAGTCAGCAGGTATCTCCGCTGAAATCACTCCACTCCCATTAGAAAACAACAAAGCAATCTGCGCAAACTTCTCCGGAGTTAATTCACTCCCATCGCCGGCATTACTACCCTCTGATGATAGAATATTCATCGATAACATCTGGTAGAAACTACTCGCACGCGAAGCAATTGAATGTGTGTTTATAACACGCATGAAATCCTCCAGATGGCGGTCAATGCGATATAGCAAGTCATTCAAACCGCCATTTCCGGTTAAAAACGGCGCTGTGGCTAACTTTTGTGTTTCTTCTATCAACGCACCAACTTTCCAGCAGCCTTTGAGTAAATCCCAGACACTGCGTGCTTTTTTCACGATGGTTGTCCTTCCGTTCATGACAATAGCGCGTTGTAACATTTCCGGAGTGGTTACCGGATGTCCACAGACACTTATATCAATAGACCTGACGGTTAAGTCTATTTTATCCGAAGGTACCGCCATGAGGACCTTGAAAAAGTCCATGAAGATGTGATGATGCATGGTTACCAGGTATTTACGACGTGTTAGACGTTGGTTGAAATTTGCTGACACGCACATTCCGACGCTTTCATCCACGGATCGAATGATTGTCGAATTGCATAATGGCGTGATTGCTCCGGGCATTACTTCTTTCACATTCGCGGTCGTGAAAACATCTAAAAACATTAATTTTTAGTTTGAAACATTGTTTTTAATACTCAGTGATATGTAGTTACTTTTATTGCAGAGGATTGGAATGTCAAACTCATGTTCCAACTCGTAATCCGTCCAGTTTTCCAAAAAAGTCACAGGTCTCGCTTGGAGCAACACAAGTTTATCCTTATCAAACGCCCATTCTATGTCTAAATGTTTCCCGTATTTATCTTCTAACTCCACAGCGGTTTTTGATAGAATTAATACTTCTTCATGGCAAATACTCATCTGTCTTGAAGATGCGTCACTTAAATACACTGTCCTTGTGCCGTTTTCCTGACACAGCGTGGTTTTTGTCTTCTTTTTGTTTATCTTCTCTGATTCTATTGACAGTTTATTGTTGTATGTGCGTCGTACGTAGATTAGATCACCTCCTTCTTCACCGGAAACAATACTCTGAAAATATTATAGGTTAGAACTTATTAAATAAAAAAGGTTATGTTTTATACTTCTCCCAGGCCATAATTAGAAGTAATACGCAGGCGGCTTGGGTTTCCATCTAAGTCACACGTGAATAACACTCCGGCAATACGTGAGTCGATCATGGTTTGCACCACGACGCCCATGGATGTTTCTATGTCTAATCCATGATGGCGGCGGTATTCCACGCTGCGGAAAGCGTATAGCGAAGCCCAGCACTGCTTAACTGCTGATAGGATTTCTTCTTCACTACGACAGCCTAGGAATGTTTCGTTTTGACCTGCTGCGGAGGTTATCTCTGAGTCTTCGCTTACTCCTGATGAACGCACAGCAAAAGAAATGTTAGAATTTTTAGAATTCTTCATTGTTAACTGTTTCAATGAAGTTATAATTCCACTTTCTAGTTCTTTTGATATTGGGGTGTTTATTATAACACTCTGTATATTGTTACAAGCTTCTTCTACGATATCCCTTTTGGAGCTTCCAGCACACATTTTTAACTTGGTCATTGCTTTACGGAATTCAGGAGTGCTTTCTGTATGTGTCATCATTGCTCTTGTAGTGATAACAAAACCCTGAGGGATTTTAAAGTTTAATTCTGCTTGTAAAGATGCTAATATCGCCAAAGACTGTCCTTTCCCGCCTGTAAGACTCAGATTCTGCGCTGTGGGATTATCCAATGGTAGAATCAACTCTTCACTAGATGTTTTCTCATTGTTATTAACACTTCCTACTAATGGTGGCAGCCATGTTGTGTTTGCATCACCCCGCGTGCGTTTAAAAAACAATATGGAGGTTACACCACGTCCTGTTGATGTGCATGTCTCTGCTAGTTTGTTAACTAAGTCATAACCAGCGTCCCAGTGGCTGGAAGAGTGTCTAACTTCGCTTTTGTTGTCAAGAGTCATGAATGTCTTCATATTGTTGCGTGCAGTTGATATGTGCACTGTCATGTTTGTTATGTTTCCGTATTCATCAGGAAGAGGTAAATCACATCCGTTTATAGCTATGTAATCACCATTGGGAAGTAGAACAGCGCCATGTCTTACTCTAGAAATATTATGTAAATAATAGGTTATGTTTGTTTATGTTAAGGTTATATTTACTGTGCGGATGGTGTGTATGCTGTACGACGGTTTTCAGCGAAGATAAGTGTTCCATCATCGGTCATGGTTAACATTTCGATGTTTCTTGCGCATTCGTAACGATCTGCCGTACCGAAACGACGAGTTTGGTATGCGCCCAAGGATAGAGTTAGGTTCAAATCAAAATGGCCGCTTTTGACTGTCCCGTGTAGTTCACCAAAGTGACTTTCACCCAGTTGATCACCACTGGAATTTTTAGGTTATAAGTTTACATTTTACTAGTAAAAGTATTGCTTGTTTGTTAATAACTTACAGTTTTTCTGTCCAATTACCATCTCGCCATTGCACACGTCCAACTGCATCTCCAAATAATCCCTTATCGAAAAACTTAGGATATTGCAAAGCGTCACTTGCTCTCGAAAACCTAATAACCAAATATGACATGTCATTTTGACAGACCTTGTGACGTATGCAACCCAACTTACAGACAATTGATCGCAACATGTTGCACATTCTGAATGGAAGTGTTTGTGATTTCTTTCAAGAAGCCATTGAATACAAGCCGATAATTGCCGTCGAGTTGTCGCGAGATTGTTAACACTTTAGTCCGCCACACCTGCGAGCGTAGGGAGCACAGCTGCACGCCGTTCGGAAGGCAAAAAACGCGCCCGTCCGCCAATCGCAGCTGCACCAAAATCTCCGCGAATGTTTGCGGTGACTTACCGACCGCAAAGCGCACGTAAATCGCATTATTATGCAAATCAACGCCGTGAAACACCAATAAATCTTCATCCCATTTCTCGCTTGCGAGTCGCGGTCGGTCAACAGGTAGTTCAACTTTACGATTAATAAAATTGTTTAGTTTCTGAAGACATAGAATCCTTTTCAGCGCGTAGTACCAATCTAAAAATAGATTTATAGGATACATATTAATCTATATGATTTTGAGTACCTTTAGTGCGTTTTTCTCGTCCGTGATTACTGGGTAATGTTAGTTTATAGAGCAATAAGGGCAGCGCAAAGAGCGCCGCGCAATACGCTGCGAAAAACACATCCATTTTGATTTTTTTCGGCGACTTTCTCTCGACGAGATGCACTTGGGATCACGTCCGCGGTCAAACTACAGTCTGTACAGGTGCGTGAGTGCAATTTCAGGTTCCAAGTCTCATTGCCAGCCGAGAAAAGTATTCAAGTGCCATTCAAACGTCGAAAAAACCTCAATTGATTGTAATAAACGCGCATTGCGTAACTGCAACGTTAATCTAATCTGTAAAGTCATGATAAGCATGTAGAGTAATAAGCAATACATCTAATTATGTTAATTTAACATTTTGGGGAACTATAAAAATAACACCGCGGAAGTGATATTGATGTTTGTATAGTAGTTGCCCTTCGATTCTTTAAGTGCTAATTGCCGCACGAGTCGCCGTCTTGATCAATGAATGAATGAAAGAGATCTGAGTGAGTACCGCGCGCACGCTCACTTGTTGAATGTGTTAAGCAGCAGCAGCAGCAGCAACAGCAGTGGCAATCGCAGAAGCGGGGAGACGATGACGAGACGCGCACTGAGTGCGCAGATGTCGAACAACGAACAACGCATCGCGTATCATATCCTAACGCGAATAACAAACTAAAACAAAAACGAATAAAGTCAAAGTCAGCGATATTAATTAATGAGTGGTTCAATGTGTGGGCATAGTGCATGCGCATAACACTTAAGTAAGTGATTTAAGCAGAATTTAAGCACAAAATAGACAAAGGTTGTTGTTGTCTCTTGCTGTGCGTTGTGTGTGGAATAGGATAAAAACCAAAGAAGTTTTGCCCCGATTTGGAGCTGCGCAGTTTTCGCGAAAGGCAATATCCGCCGCCCGTGCCCCCCTCGCGTTTGTGCATAAATCAACCGCGCGCGCGGTAGAAATATCATCATCGCTTGCGCGACCACTGCGCGACCACTGAGGCCTCCGAAGGTGAACTGGTTGTGCGCAGCGCTCTGCCTAGAATAACATTATAACTATAATTCATTTGCAGGAAGATCAGAAACACACCACGATGATGTTCTATTTACTCTGCTTCACGCTGAGTAGTGTTGTGTTGGTTGCCGGTGAGCATAAAGTACACAACATTGTCTTGTACCCGGAGCGACACTCCTGGTGTCAAACCACACCGATCAGACAGGTGGTTGCGATGCCTGGCTATGCACCGCTGACGATTGATAACCACGTGTGTGTGGGCGCCTGCTACAGCTACAGCATTCCTCGCACGCAACCAGCTGAGCCCGGTGAACTCATCGGACCGTACTGCGATAGTTGTCAGCCGAAAACAACGCAATGTTATCATGTTACGCTGCGTCGCGCGAATTTCAACGCTAATCTTACTGATGATACGCAGCAGATGCGTAAACGTGTGCAGATCATCACCGATTGTAGTTGTTCGAGTTGTAGTCGTGCTATCAGCGAGCAAAATCCAGATGAATGTGATTTAGAGGATGGTAATACCCTGGAATTACCTGCGAGTCTTGTTGCGGCTAAAGATAGTCAGGAGAAGGCGGATGGTATGCAACCAGAAGTGCCTGAGTTAATGGCAATACCTCCGCCGAAGACGTATGCAACCCAATCGACACAAACCAGTGCGGAAGTTGGGTTAATGCGCACCTATCATTTATCTGAATCTCTACGACGTTTATTGAGAGATATTCAGGAGAATGATGATAATTTTGTGTCTTCCACATCATTTACACCCGAAAAATTAGTGGATATGCGGCAGTTAGTTGAGATTATTCAAGGTCAGGACGGATTACTCACTGATCGTGATGTGATTGACTTTGTGAACTGGATAAATGAACACGAAGATGAGAATGGCATGGAATTAGATGCTTTGAAGTTGAAAATTGTTTTAGATGCATTTTATCGACGAGAATTACGATTGAAACATAAAAAGTTTGGTTTGGGTACAACACAAACCACGCAAACAGAAAACGATGATTATGATTCATCTACACATGAACATGAAAAGCCTTTAATTGAAGGTAGTCATCTGTCAATGGGGCATAAAAAAGGCGCACATATCACGATGGGTATCAGAGATAATATCATTCCATCAGGTGATGATGGTAATGAAGAAAATGACAATACCTCGGCTGAAATGACAGATGTAGATGGCGCTAGTGGTGAAATTGAGGTTAAACATCACCAGCATCATGTAGGCGACACAATCACAACTGGCGGCAGTGTAGCACACCTTGTAATGGGCCCGCATGGCAGTCTTGTGCTCGCCGCGCCCTCTGCTGAAGAAAGGTTAAGTCTGGCAAGCGATGAAGTTGTTCCCAACCAGGAAGGAACCGTTATAGATTACCACCATCATCGCAATCATCATAGATCCACACCTGCAAGTGTAACTCTCTAGTAATCGTAGCGCTAGTAATATTAACACTCTATTGTTTTGTTTTTTCTGTTGAGATCTTTATTGTATCATTTATTTTGTCTGTTTTTATCTTCCGACACTTACAATACGTACTTAATTTATTACTTCGACTTGGAAAATGTTTTGGCTGTGTCTGTGCCTCTGTGTGTGTGTGTGTATGTGCGTGTTGTTTAATTGTTTGTAATGTTTTTTTGTTTGTTTTGGAATTTGTTGCTCTTTATTCGTGGTGAAATTTTGTTTTATTCTGCTCAGAGATACTTATATTATACATTAATCAGCGGCGTTTGTGTGGCGTTTCATTTTGTTATCGAGCAATTGTTTCTATGGCGGGGAGGCGGGTGTTACTAATCGTTCGAGAGTGGAGAGAAACCCGCACGGACGTACTTGAGTCTCCGTATACATTCTAGTTTAGTTTGGTTTGTGCGTGCCACGCGTTTTCACTGCGCTTTTCACTTGTGATTTTCACAAAGTTTACTCACGTCGCAAGCGGTAAGCGAGTTTATATTTATATCTATCAAGGTTAACACACGTCGTTGCAGTGCAGTGCAGCTGGTAGAATATACAATTACGTGTTGAATTATCTTAATCACGTTTATTACGGTTGTTTGCACCTGAGGAGCGTAGATATTTAAACATTTTTTATAAGTGTTTCACGTGTTGCATACTAGCGGAAATAATACTCACGCGATCTATATGTTAGGGTTATAAAGTAGCATAAGAAAACTTCTGGTAGATGACACCAGATGGTGCTGATTGGTTTGATTGGAGTAGTGCGAATTGGTATTTCTTGCGGGCCACATTGCGCACTCGCCGGTTTTGCGTGCCGTGCTGCTTGTCACTTGCTTCACTTGTTTCGTCCTGTGCGGAAGCAAATTCCTACGTGCGAGTTCATATAACATTAGTCATACATACCTATACTTGATATAGATAAATTGTGCAAGTGTCCAAATTAAACTCTAGTGCGAATAAAATCGATCGTATTAACCTCAAATCACATCTTCATCGCGTGTTGCTACTAAATTGTTAACAGAAAATGAAGAATCGCACGTTTGTTAGAAGTCCTTTTATTGAGTTGCGTCGGCAGATAATGAACTCGTTAATGGGCTTGAGTTGTTGAAGTGGTCGAAGCACTCCTAGCGAGTATAATCTATCAATTGCGAGCTGGTGGAAGCGCGTGCGACGCGCTCTAATCGCCTTAATTGGCCGGGCACAAATTGTGTAAGTTATTTGTATGCGTGAGTATATGCTGGCCGAAATTATATTACTCATCATGGTCATATGACGACGTGTCGTGTATATCGAGTTTCGCTTATCGTGCGCGTATGCGATATGAACGATTCGAAATGCGACGCCTCGGAGAAGTATTTCGCAGTTTTGGCACATGCGAGTTACGATTCAAGGCCCTTTCGCGTATTTTTAGCTGTGAGATTCTCACCGTGTTTTTGTTTTCTAGACGCGACTAGCACGAAACGGAGAGAACGCAGAGATTTGAGGAGTTGTGCTGAATCGGCAGCGCCAGCGTATGATGCATAGTTGTGTGAGGCGGCAGCAGGAGTACTGGAGCATCGCCGCAAGCCCCCCTCGCCAGCTGCTTCTAACACCTCCTCGCTCGTTGTTGTCGCCGTCGTCAGCAGTTGCTGTCCCACGCGCCGCCTCCTGCCCGACGGCGGGTAGAAGAATGTGTGCGCCGTCGGCGTGCTGCTGTTCCTGTTGTCGCGCGAAGAACGATCCGGGCGACTGACACCCGCCGCCGCCGCCTTGCTCACGTCCGGCGACGGTGATGGCGAGCTGACGACCGGTCGTCGCTCGGCGGGCCCCTCATCCAACAGCAATAATCGAGCCAATCAAGCTCAATTGAGCCGCGTGTGCGTGTGTTGCGATGGCCTCCTCGCTGGAGAATCTCAGTATTAAGCGGCAGGGTTATGCGCCCTTCCGCACCAGGAAGCGCACGGATCGCCGCGCCGCTGGTATTGCCGAGCAGCACGCCGAGCTGCTCGCCCAAGACGCGCCGCCCAAAGGTAAACAAACAACCAGTAGCAGAACACACAACCGCACTGCACGGCATAAAAAAAAACACCCGTAATAAATATCAGATTACCTTGTTTATTTTAACTTTGTATATTTTTTTATTGATGTAGACATGGCGAGCGCGTATGAAATGCGCGTTAATCCCGACGAGGACGACGAACTGCGACTCTGCGGCTATCGCCCAACAGCACTCCGCTCGTGTCTCACCTACGCGGGCATTATCCTCACCTGCGGCTTCCTGCGACTATTCTACCACTGGCTACCACATCTCTATCTCAAGAGCAGGTGTGTGCCGTGTGATGTCACCGCTGCGGACTTTGTCCTCATCACCGAAGCCTACAATGACAACCATAAAGTATACTATGTCAAACACCTACGCACGGTAACTGCGGATTCACTCATCGTCGAAGACGATGATGAAGCACCTGAAAAACCACGCGCTACCACTCTATCCGTACATTTCGGCGGGGGGCAGTTCAGACAACTCGAACGCCTGCTCACTTTCACGTGCAAAAAGGTGACGTATATCTGGGATGACGAAACGCACGAATTCGTTAAACTGCGCGGGTTGGACACGGGCGTCAATGCTGTGCCGTTGCACGCAGCTGCTGCCGATGGTGGGCTGTCTCTGCATGAGGCACGTACACGACGCGCTGTCTACGGGCCCAATGAGATCAAAATCAAGGAGTCTTCCATCCCTACTTTGCTGTTTCTCGAAGTACTCAACCCGTTTTATATCTTTCAAGTCTTTAGCTTTGTGCTGTGGTTCGCGGACAATTACTACTACTACGCAGCGGCCATTTTGTTGATGTCCGTGTTCGGGGTTACCATGACCGTGATCCAGACGCGGCGGAATCAACGAAATCTGAAATCAACTGTGCATTCATCCGATGTCTGTACGGTTTTAAGACGTAGGGAAAGTGCAAGCACAGGAGAAGGTTTAGATTACCTGCATACAGAAACCATTTCAACGGAATTATTGGTTCCTGGGGATGTGTTGGAGATACCACCGCATGGGTGTATCCTACAGTGTGATGCATTACTAGTCGCAGGGAATTGTATCTTGAATGAGAGTATGTTGACTGGTGAGAGTGTACCTGTCACAAAAACACCTTTCCCACATCTTGGAGATCTGGTCTATGATGCAAAGGAACACGCTAGACATACCCTGTTCTGCGGGACGCAGGTTATCCAGACCAGGTATTTTGGTAATGCGAAGGTTTTAGCTGTTGTCGTCCGTACGGGTTTCCAAACAGCTAAGGGAGAACTTGTTAGATCCATATTATATCCCCCACCGGTGGATTTTAAATTCGAGCAGGATTCCTACCGGTTTGTGATGCTGCTGGGCGGCGTCGCGGGTCTCGGGTTTATCTACACACTAGTCACGAAGTTCATGCGCGGTGTGGCCGTGGCGGAGATGATTGTCGAAGCGCTGGACTTGATTACAATCGTTGTGCCACCTGCGTTGCCGGCCGCCATGACTGTTGGACGGCTGTACGCGCAAACACGGTTACAAAAACAGCAGATCTTCTGTATCTCGCCGCGTACGATTAATGTCTCCGGGAGTATTGATTGTGTGTGCTTTGATAAGACGGGAACATTAACCGAAGACGGGTTAGATTTACTGTGTGTTGTTCCGGTGGAGTCTGGGAAACATTTCGGGAATCCCATTAGTGAAGTGGAGAAGATGTCCTATGACGCGTTATTATACGGATTGGTTTGTTGTCATTCTTTGACTATAATTGATAAACAAATCACGGGGGATCCGTTGGATTTGAAAATGTTTGAGAGCACCAAGTGGGTGATTGACGAACCGGAAGTGGAGGATAATACAAAGTTTGATATGATTTTCCCCACGGTTTTCACACCCCCGGGCGATGGTGATTCTAATATGCAAATAGCAAGTATTAAAGAGTTTCCGTTTTCATCGAGTGCACAACGCATGGGTGTGATTGTCCGAAGATTAGACGCGTCGTATTTTGAATACTATAGCAAAGGATCCCCGGAGATGATTTTGAACTTTGTGCGTCCGGATAGTGTCCCCGAAGACTTCGGAAGGGTTCTCGAACATTACACGCAGGAAGGATATCGTGTGATTGCCCTAGCCCATAAACAATTGAAGATGTCCTATGCGAAAGTAGCGAAAGTTCAACGCGAAGCTATTGAAAGCGACATGACCATGTTGGGTTTGATTGTTTTGGAGAATCGCTTGAAAGATGCAACTACTCCAAGCATTGCAGCATTGAACGATGCACGAATTCGTGTTGTTATGGTCACAGGCGATAATATATTGACTGCGGTGAGTGTCGCACGTGATTGCGGCATTGTACAACCGTCACAGTCGGTGATTAGTGTTAATGTTGATAATGGCGCTGTGCATTACACACTAACTGCCACCAAGGATAAACCGGGAGGTGTGGAGTCCATTCTGTCGAATTCCTCGAGTGTTGTATCATTGCCAACACTAGAAAGTCAAACAAACACTGATGTTGTGGTTGAAATTGGCAGAGACGATGTAAAATATAATAATTACCGGTTTGCGTTGACGGGGAAGGTGTGGACTGCGATTCGCGATGATCACCCGGAGTTGATTCCACAGCTAGTCACCAGGGGGAGTATTTTCGCTCGCATGGCGCCGGATCAGAAGCAGCAGTTGGTGCAGGAGTTGCAAGCGCTTGGCTATTATGTCGGTTAGTATAAAGTATTTCAAAAATTTCAAAGTTTTTTGTTTAAATAATTGTGTTTTGATTGTTTCTGTAGCTATGTGTGGAGATGGTGCAAATGATTGTGGAGCATTGAAAGCAGCCCATACTGGTATATCCCTCTCGGATGCGGAATCTTCAGTGGCGTCACCATTCACGTCTAAAAACCCGAACATTACCTGTGTGCTTAGTATAGTTAAGGAAGGCCGCGCTGCTCTGGTGACATCTTTCGGCATTTTCAAATACATGGCGGCGTATTCACTCTGCCAGTTCGCGTCGGTGTTGATTTTATACAGTATCGAATCAAATCTAACGGATATCGAGTTTTTGTACATCGATTTATTCATCATTTCGATCTTTGCGTTCTTCTTCGGTCGTACCGAAGCGTACAAAGGTAAACTCGTCAAGGAAACACCGCTGAATAGTCTAATATCTCTCGCGCCGATTGTCAGTATTTCATTGCAGTTGATTTTGTTGTTGGCGGTGCAAACAATGGCGTTCCAACATGTGCAGATGCAATCGTGGTATCAGCCGTTTAATGCCTCATCTAAAGAGGATAAAGATGCTGTGGGATGTGTGGAGAATTATACGGTGTTCACCGTGTCGAGTTTTCAGTATATTATCCTTGCGATTGTGTTTAGTAAAGGCGCGCCGTATCGCGAGAGTATTTTCAGTAATTACGGATTATTAATTTCGGCGATTCTAATGGCGGCGTTCAGTGTCTACATGGCGCTGGACCCGATGCCTTGGTTGCAGGATGTGTTTGAGTTGGAACTCGCGCAGGAGATGCGCTTCAGGGTTTATTTATTATTATACGCCGGCGCGCATTTTCTAGCTGCCATCGCTGCGGAGGTCATCATTGTCGAGCATTGTCTGTTTAAAAAGATGCGCGATAAGTGTGCGGATAGTTCAAAGCGGAAATTCATTGCGATCGAGCGCGAATTGCAGCGTGATTCAAAATGGCCGCCGCTTACGTCGCATTTCCATAGTGCTGCCAGTCCGATGACGCCGCTGCCATCTTGCGAGGCGGAGATTGTCATCGAGAGCGAACAATTCGATAAGAATCACGTGCTGAATTCGTTCTATCGTGCGCCTGATGAATGCAGTATTAACGAGCATGATTGTGATGGTTCGGTGGCGTTGAAATCCAATGGGAGTATTGAATACGCCGCCGGTGGGGCAAGCACACATAGCACTCCTGTGCATTTTCAATCCGCTGTGCAATTACAGTTGCAGTGTGACGGTGATGATGCGGAGAGTATGGGTAGTTTTCGCACGGCGCCGGATGCGTGTAATACCGGACCCAATACGCCGATCTATAAAGGTGTGTGGCCCAATGGTGGGCACAATGGACGCATACGGTCGATTAGTCAATGCGATGGTAATGGCTTTCTAGAAATGGACGTCATTCGGTGATGTCCGCAGATGTACACGATGTACTTAAGCGTGTTCTAGTATTATTAGTTAAGATACATAGAAAACCAAAAAAATCATTTAGTTTAGTATTGTATTAATAGGAATAACGTTATAGCTGGTCTATAAATATAGATTAAATTAACTTAGACTAGTGACTTGCGACGACGCGCACCGCCATCCCGCTCGCCCCATTCCTTCAAGTGTGAGACCAACATACCGCCGAGGATTATCTGCGTTGGATGGTAGACTAACAGCGGCAGGCTTATTTGTGACAAGTGCGAGAAACCATGGAACATTATACGCAATATTGGTATGCCAAGTGTGAGGGATTTGTGCGTCGAGCAGAATACTATTGCGATTACATCAGATGCGTTGAAATCACTGCGGTGGCGATTCGCCAGGGTGAAGGCCAAGTATAACAGGGCGATTTGCAAGATTAACACTGTAAAATCATTAGAGATATTATAGGATATACAGGGTGTTGTTTGTTTGTTTACCGAAAAACACGGTGAATAATATATTCCCCGCGGTTAAACCATCTTCAGGCGTATGGAATGTTTCGCAGAATGTCGCGAAGATTATCAGCATAAGCGCAAACTGACTTAGGACACCCAAAGGTAATGAATGTCCTCGGAATGGTGTGCAGTTGCGGATGACTTGCCCGATTATCAATGGAGATAATACTGTTGTTACTAACTGGAGGACTGTGCCTGTTAGAGGTACAATTGTAGTGAACCCCAACTGCAAAATTAACAAAAATTAGTTTAATTATTATTTAATTTGATTATTTTTACGTTTAGTAGAAGTGAGATTGGCGTGATGATGATCCCCAGGAAGCTGCCAACGATCGAGTTGAAAATGGCAGCTGTTTCGTTACCGTTTGCCGCACGTGTTAATATCACAGCTGAAGATACCGGCGGTGGCATACATGCCACGGTAATAAATCTATAACACAATAATTATAATAATGATTTTTATTTGTTTTGAGTTGGTTCTATTCTTACCCTCGGAGTATCCATAAATTGACGCCGAATATTCCGAATACTTTGACGACGCATTGCATGAATAAAGGTACAAGGACGAAGGTGAACCCCTGGATGAATGCGTGTAGTTTATATTGTCGCAGCGTGTGCAGGACATTTTCTGTTTTCAGTTGTAAGCCACTAATGAAGAATATGAGGCAAACGGCGCCGTATTTCACGGTGTATTCGGGTCGTAGTGGACCACCCTTGATACCCACGCTCGGGAAGAAACTCGCCGCGATAATGCAGCCGAGAATGCCGAGGAGGAGCCAGTTTTTACGGACATATTCACCGACGGTGATTTTCTGCCGCATTTTTTACATTTTTGTTGTTACACAGCTGATTTGCTACGTATATATTGGTATAACCTATTTTTACAAAGTTTACGTGCATGATTTGATCATAGATATTATTTTGATCTATTGATTGCGTTAAACACCATTTAAGAAGATTATATACCATACATTACCCATGTTGTTTATATGATCTTATAAATTTGTTTCAGCCAATGACAACAGCCGCTGAACCAATAAGAAGTCGCGATTTCTACACTCCAACCTCTAACTCTACTCTTCAAATAAAGTCAAACGTATAACTTGACTTTAACAACACTAGATGGCGCAGTGTACACTGCAGGTATAAATAATCACACCGAGTGTTTACGAAACGATTCAATTATATTGTTTGTATGTATGAGAAACGTTAACACGTGGGACAGAATTATGCAGCGATAAAGAAGAGAGCTACGAGTAGAACGAGTGAAACAAGAACATTGTGTGGGCGTGCGTCCGTGGCGGCCCTGCCGCACAATTGGATCGTCTGCTCGTGGATACTCCGATTGATACAACTCATATAATTCCGCCGTGGGAATTTATTATACCGCAAGATGTGGCAGTGCCGGCTTTCATTATACCACACGTCCACCGGCGTCGGGCTGAGAATAGGCTCCTCCATTGGAACCTCCGGGCACAGCATGTTGATCACCAGCAGGACCATGTTACTGGCGACGACCGGTTGCACCAGGAAGGGACGCGCGCAGTCACGCATCGTCCGATTATACCCACTGCGTGATATGTTACTCTCGGAGTAGTGGATGAGGTGATACAGATACATTTCGGTATCGCATGGCTCCGGGTGGGTTTTGTTGATTAGCAAACGATGATCAAAGTCTTTCTCGAAGGTACGACTGGGTTGGTCTTCATCTTCATGCTCGGGTTCGGCTTCTTCAAGGACAACATTGGCTGCTGCTGCTGATGATGGTTGTTCGGTTGCGATGAAATCATCTCCGGGTCGAGCGACTGCTACTTTTGCGAAGTAAATGATTGTTGTGAGTAACCAGGAGAAGATTTCGCCAAAATTTTCAAACGGGGTTAGTAACCGGGGTGACGCTGGTGATACAGTGTGGATATTGGGGAAACATGTCGCTTGGTAGTCGTACATCCGCGTACGGTTGTACACACCTTCTTCGACTAACATTTCGAGGATATCCGGCCGGAAATCACCTAAAAACATCCCTGTTCTTTTTCTATCATAGGCTACGACTATGTAACCATTGTCATCGACGAGCATACAGTGTAACTCTTCAGAGGAACAGGTACGTTTACAGCGTTCATCCCCGCATTGGCTTGTGATGTTTTGGAAGAGTGCGTGGAGGGCACGATGGTACATCTGGAACCCTACTACCCCCACCACGGCTTTCACTCGTTTATCCTTAGGGTCTTCTTTGAATATTGCATGACTTGCTGTTACCAGGACATCGTCGGATGGACGTGGCGGTTGTTCTTCTTCACCTTCTAGAACGGCGACTGAAACGGGCCAGTCGGCGTCGAAGGGTACAGAATACACAAAACTACGTGGTTGTCTATAGTGTTGTTCCACCGCACGCCGGTACCAGACTTCATTGACTGCCTCTGCGTGCAGTTCGTGGAAGTGGACCTTTGGAGTGGCGGCGTTTTGCGGGAAGTCTTGCCAGCGGGTGAGACCGCTATGGGTTGCGAGGAATGCGACGGTTATGCCGAAACGCGAGATGAATTCATGTCTGGAACATATTATTCATGGTAATATTAGTAATATTTTTGACAATTTAAGTTTTAGGGTTATGTAATTGTATAACCATAATCTTACGCTTCCTGGCTGCTGTTTTATTCGAAAAGTGCAAGTCATTATCATACTCTACCTTGGCAGCAATGACATCAACATTGCAATGGGCCTAATACGCAAGCAATCGCGAAATGATTGTGCAAGCAAAAACAGACAATGATATAACCTCTCAAAGTATATAACCTCTAAACACACACTATAATTAATTCAAACACAACCTACCCATTGTCTTCTTTATTCGTATTCGTGATATTCTTGTGAAACCATTCCGTGATCTTCGCGTCGTACAGCACCCGATTGATCAGCGAGCGATCACACTCCTGCGAATGCGAATTGTTCCACTTCCATCCCGGCATGCTCATCTTCTCCAAGAAATGCAGCAGTTCCGCAGCGGGAGAGGAAAAATTACGCTGTACCCTTTTCTCACCCAGATACCTGCAGTACGTCCACGCCGGATGCACCGTCCAGTTGCCCGTGAAGAACTGCGTGAGGTTATTGTTATGCGTGACGAATATCCGATGTTTATCCTCCTTGCTCTGTTGGTCGATCTCATAATGCCCATAACGATCAGGCAGCGCCAGGACCAAGGTAAACGGAGTACCTTCAATACCAGTGTAGTAATAATGACGTTTACCAAAGTGTATACGATTCATTTCATCCATGTGATACTTGACGCGGTATTCCTTATCCCCGCTGGATTGATTCACAATAGCGCTGCGTAACTTTAGTAATTCCGAAGAGAATTCCCTGGGTTCGGTGTCATCATCAAAGAGTTCCACCTCAACCATATCTACACGGTTGTACGCTGGTTTGAGTATACCCTGGAACACCGGACGTAGATCCGGATGTAACAGGATGTAGCCATTGTTGGTGACGATGAATGCGAAACCATTCACACCCACTCGGTATGGTAGTAAAAGACGCTCGATGGTGGCGATTGGTACATCCGTCCCTGCTACGCCCAGGAGGTTGGCGATGCGGGTCTGAAACAGTCGCGCGCATGCGTATTAATCTCATGTTGAACACATAACCAAATCTCTCTACCATATTTCGATATAATTTTTAATCACTAAAGCACTAAATAAATGAATAAATCTGTAACAGCTAGGCTAGGGCTAAAGAATCAACTATGTTTATTTAATATATGGGCTGCTATGATTAATAATTGTAGGTTATATCCGTCGGCTATAGCTGGGCGGGGCCTGCACACGCCCAAACAACATTAGTATCCAATCAACTCCAACCACAACGACTACACGCACGCTACGCTACGGAACTAGCTTGAAATATTTGATTTGGTAATATTTAGTTATCAGAGATGGCGTCACTGCAGATGCGTTTGGGGGGGGTGGATGTTGGTGTCTGCCGGTGTGCAATTACCTCCTTGGTGACTGTGATCCAGATTTTTTCGTTGATCTGTATCTTTTCTGAAATGTTCTGCACACGGCGCGTCATCAACCATCACATCACACAACAAGTATCACATTGATTGGTAATAGAATTAGAGTGGATATAATCTTACCGCATTCTGTCTTTTGTCATACACAGGTAAACTGACAGAGGTCATCAGACGGTACTCCTGGAATTCCCCGGGGACTTTATCCTTGTTGAAGTCCATGCGGCGTTGCTGATACATGAACTTGCGGTCGATGACGTCGTCGATGAAGAACGAAGTGCGGTTACGATTGCGTCGGTATAGTAGGAATCTATCGCGTTGTTTGTTGCGTTCACGGGTTACCCATAGCCAGTTGGTGAGTTTCGGATCGGTGACGTCTGCGTAGACTGGCGACCAAGTGGGGTTAGGTTTCAGCGTTGGATTGAGCACCATTGGGCGTGCCATTACTGGTAGATATTGTAATACTTGCTCGCGTACTTCTGCATACGTGCTTAAATGCACGTAGTAACCTTGATTCGCGCATGCCATCCATTTTACTTCACGTACATCTGATACTTCTCTACCTATTAGGTATGTGAATACACGTACAGGCATAAATGGTAGATTCCGCCAGTTGTACTCTTTGAAAATCTCTTTAAAGTTGTAGTAAACACCATCGGTGACCAACATAATCGCTTGATTACACTGCGCGCCTTCCCCAGCGCGTTCTTCACGATACGATTGCAGCAATTCAAACGCCGCTGTCAATGCCAGTGAGAAGTTTGCGATTTGCTCGGTTTTGAAACCAAACATGGCTTCCTTAAACTGTCGAACATTCGCTAGATTTGCCTGGACGAGGTGTCCTTCGAAACAATCAATAAGCGGGTCTGTTGTGTTGCTGAATGTGTAGATATTGACGTAATCATTGTTTCCCAGCGTGTCCAGGATGTTGTTCACGACGTGTTTGGCGATTTCACGCCGCATGCCAGTCATGGAGCCGGAACGATCGATGAGGATGACGATGTCTTTGGGTGAGGAGGCCGCCTCCACGTACCAGCTGCGCATGCGGCAGTCGTAGAGGTCGACAGGTTCCTGTTTCCAGATCATTGCGGGGTATTGGCGCATGAAACCGGAGGAACTGCCGAAGTATTGCCAGGATATGGTTGGGTCTTGTTTGTAGTTGTCCTGGAAGGATTTGTCTAGTTCCTCAGACCATTTTATGTCACGGATTACTTCCGGAGCTACGGAGAGTAGAAAAATTAGAAAAATATTGTTTTATTTTGTGCCAGAGAAGTGGCAAAGTCATTTAAATGCAGGCATGCAAGATGGCCGCTCAGTTTGTTGTCGAACAGGCAGGCAACCATCAATACACCATCATAACCTTTACCGGGAAGCAAAAAACTGCGAATATTTTACGATTTTGACTTAATTCATCAAATTAATCTGCCATTGGTGTATTAATGGTTGCCTGCATTTAAATAACCTTAAAACTTTTCTAATTAATTTCCTTTTTTACTTACAGCGATCATACACATTACTCGGCACGTGCACAGCACTCACGTTGAGATTAACCGGGATATTATAAAAATTCGGATTGGGATGCAGTGGTAATCGGCGTTTATCCACCGGAGGTTTGAGACTAGCCATTGGTTCCTGCTCCACGCCTTCTTCTCCCTCTTCCTCACGTTCGATTTCATCTGGACGCTCTAAATCATCTTTATTTGCATTTTCCAGTTGTTCATTCTCTGATGGATCCACGTTGACGTTTAAATTTGCATTTATATCTGCATCCGCATCAATATCCGAATCCCCTTCTTCGTTTTGATAATCGTCGATCATTTTTGATGAATATCGACGGTTCTCACGCCGGAGCGCGTCTGTTTGTGGATCGTTTTCGATATTTTTACTTTCATCATCGTCATCGTCATCATCATCCTGAAACTTAATATTTTATAGATTAATATTAAGTTTTACCGCGTTTTTAATTGCTTTTTACTTCTGTGTTGTCATTTTGATGTTGGGGTTCTTCTGTGGTGGTCACTGCAGTTGTATCAATGAGGTCTTTTGCTTTGTAGTAATCGTAGTCTTCTCCGACGTCGTCCTGCGCCGTCGCGGCTACATTTTCAGCAATTTCCATGATTCTCTGCAAGTGTTTAGTATAATTTTTTGTTTAATTAACTAAAAAACTTAATTTTTACCCTGACAGCGTCCACCTTTTTATCCATCATGTTTTTAACACGACTTGTGATCTCTCGCAGTAAAGATTCGCCATCTTTCGCGGTAACAATCGCATGTCGATAGCTCTAAAGTAAGATTTGAATTATTTAAGGTTATGTACATGACTAATTATGTTTTTATTCACACATACCTCAACAACCGTACTTCTACGTGTGACTAATTCACCAAAGTGCCACAATTCACCCCCGAGCTTCTCAGCCCAGTTACGTACACTAAAATATTGAACAAATTAAAAAAATAAATTTAATTTTAATTGGTTTCAGGATGTTTTTAGCTTACAGGCGTGGCAATTCGGGATGTTTTACATGCGCATCCTGCGATCCTACCCTATTCACAATCACCACCGCCACCAGGAATAGCACAACCGGATTAAGGCGCATTTCGGCACACTACTACCTCATTCGCGGACGTTTTCAACACGTGCTGGCCGTTATCAACGCGCGTTTCGCATTTTCCCGCATCTGCACACACTTGCACCCAGCACGAAATGTAAAAAAAAAGATGTGTGTCAGTGGTGCAGCCTGCAGCCAGGACCTTTCGCTAATCTCTAACGCTGATAATACTGAGGTGGGTGGCGGAATACGCACAGCGCAACTCTTCAATCGATAATTTGCTGCATGCGCGCAAGTCGCCGCGCGGCAATTTATCAATTGACCGAGATGATTCAATTACACACACTTGTTTACATTGCATTGTTGTGTGTCTTGCTATTGGCAGTGGGAACAAAAATGTGGGGAAAGATACGCGTATGATATACATTTTTCAAGTGTATTTTGTTATTTTTACCGCAGTTGTAAATTATTTCTGCGTGCGTGCGTTGAAAAAACTAATCCAAACAAATATAGTGCTGCCACGGTGGGTATTTGGGGAACTAAATTTAAAAATATAAACCGAGTGTGGCAAACAACTAGAAATTTATTGTAAAATTAAAAAAAAATTAAAAATATTTTTACGTTTTATTTAATTAATACTAACAATTAATCAATTTATAATTAAATATGTTCATTTTAATTAAAATTTAATGCAGTTTTACCGAATTTAACTATTTTTTAGGTTTGCAACACCCTGTGTGGCAACAGGTGGTAGTTTCTAAACTCGCCGCAACTGCACATTTGGCGCTGCTAATCGTGATGACGTCAGACCTGTCACCCAACCATATGACGCGTTCGCCCGATGTTTTCTTTTCCATCTGGCGCACTGTGTCGTGTCTGTTTACTGTTGAGTTGCTGCAAAACGCAGGCGACTCGATGCCTCCAATCGTATTAACAGCATAGCCACGGCTGCATACACCACAATGAGCGATATTTCAGTGGAAGTCACCGGCGATATGGCTCCGGGGCCATTGCCGCAAAAAAGTGGAATTGCCAGGTAAACAATGAAAAAATGACCACAACAAGGAACATATTTTTAATATAGTGAGTGTTTGCAGTTTATGGCAAATGCCGCTTGCGCTGCCCGACCCGAAAGATTGGCTCGCACAGCAGCGACAAAATGTGCGCCCATGGCTGGTATTTCTACAAACTTCAAATTTTAAAGCACCTGCGTCAATTCCGCGCCTCAGCAGGCGAATTATGAGAAATATTGAGTACTTCCAGAGTAATTACATCTTTGTATTCCTGGGCCTGATTGTTTACTGCTTGTAAGTTGGGATTTTAAGGTGAAAAGTTGAAAGTTAAGGCGGATTATGTTTGTTTTAGAATAACAAGTCCATTATTACTGTTTGCTATTGGTGGATCCTTCTACTGTGGCTATAAATTGTCCAAGAGGCATGCAGCAGGATCAAAATTGGTGCTGTTTGGCCGCGAGTTGACTCTCGCGCAGCAGTACGGACTGGTTTCGTTGGGCTCGATGCCAGTTTTGTATCTGGTGGGTGCGCACGGAGTGATTTTCTGGGTGATTGGCGCTTCCTTCACGTTGATTACGCTGCACGCGGCGTTTTACAACATTGACGCGCTGATGAGCAGCAGCGAGGATGAGTTTGGCCTGCTGCAGGAGGTGTAGCGCATAATGTAGGGCACATATTATACGCTTGCTTGTTGGTTGGTTACGATTGTAATAAATTTTCAATTTGTAAACACCCTGTGTGGTGTGGAGTGGTGAGGCGCATGCGCTCGTGATGGCGCTGGCGGCGCGATTCCGCGAGCCGCCGATGGTGCACGAGCCGGGCGAGCGCACGCAATCGGCCGGCCCCGAGCGATCCCCACCTTCAGTGTGTTCGGGTTCACCATGTTCCCTGTACAACAGTGCGCCTTCGCTGAGTGTCGAAAACGCAATGTACCGCCGCCATTGTTGCCGTGCGGAGCTACGGACGGTCCTCGTCAAATACGTTCGGTTTTATCGCTACAAACCGATATTAGATGCAGAATAACGTCACGGAGATAACGCAGAAACTACTCGGTGCATTAGACGGCGATTATAATGTAAGCACAACCCTTCTAACACGAGCAATGGGCGATTTTCAGCGAACGAACGGCCGGACGGACCGCGCGTCGCGCGCGCGCCCGCCGTGTGCATGTGCCAGCGCGGGCGCGCGGCGCCACGCAACTTGCAGGAGAGCAGAGACGAGCGACGGCGGAGGCCAGGCACAATGCCGCCGCCGATGTGTGTGCAATGTTCTGAACGCGCTCGCGGCCTTATGCCGCCTAGTCCCATCCCCGACGACAGTGCGTGCATGTGTATGCTAACCTCAATGTTGTTGAATGTTATGACCAGTCAGTTATGACAATCGCAATCCACTCGCGCGTCTTGTCGCTGCCGCTCAGACTGATTCTGGTCCACTTGCAGGTTACTAACATGGCTACCATCATTGAAGTCATCACACTCCTGGAGAAGGTTACAATCACCAAAGAGCTGCTCGAGGCCACCCGACTGGGTAAGCACATCAATGAGTTGCGCAAGCACCTCGCCAACGACACGCTGGCGAAGCGCGTCAAATTGCTGGTGAAGAAGTGGCGCAACATTGTGCTGGTGGCGAATCCGCCGGACGTGTCAGCGCTGCCGGTGCCAGTCGCCACCAACGGTCAGATTCGTCCGTCGGCCGCGCCCTTGGATGAGGGTGGAGGCAAGAAGCGGCCGCCGTCGCGGCTTGACCACACACCCACACACGTCAAGAAGCATCGGGCGAACGGCGGCGGGACGGCGCCGCCCTTCGACTATGACTTCTCCGACAACTCCAATTCCTCGTTCAAAGACATCGTGTCGAGCACTCCGGCCAAACAGCCGGTCACGCTGGTCGTCGTCAATTCGGACTCGAATTCGAGTACAAGCGCGCAGGATGCGCTTCTCCGCGAGTCTGCGTACGACGACCAGATACCGAAGAAGCGCGGCCGCAAGAAAGGTAAGTTGCACGTTACATGGCAGTCATGTGACTGGGCACGTTTTTCATCTTGCGGTGCGTTGCAGGCTCGAAAAACCACAAGAATCTCATCGAAGAGGCCGAGTCGTCCTTCTCCAACAAAATGGCCGTGTCGCGCGGCAACGCCAAGGTGAAGACGACGCAGGAGCTCATCGAGAGTCTGCAGAACCGGTCGCTGCCACCGGCCGGAGCGACGCCTACATCACCAGCGCGTAATGTAGACGACTGGCGTGAACGTGCGGCGAAACTCACGGAGCGCGTTAGTCTCATCGACCAGAAGCTCAATTCGGGCGTCAATCGTCTGAAAAAGCATCGGAGTGGCAGCAACAATAATCGAGAGAGCGGCGTGTTGCATCACTCATCACCACTGCAGCATCTACAACGCCCTGCGTCACCCGATGATGAAGATGACGATGAAATCATTGTCGTGGATGATGTGCCGGCGGCGATGAGCAAACAGCACCGTAAACGACTGCCTTCCGATGATAATGACGCGGTGGATAGTCAACCACCGACGGAACAGCATCTGGTGGTGCCACTGTCGCTGTCCGAAGAGGAGGCGCTCCGTCGCCTGCCGCCAATTGATATGGACGGCGGCGAGGACGAGCATGAAACACCAGTTTGCTGGTGTGTGATGAAAGAGCCCGTCGAGTCGTCGCTAGTCGTGGATGGTAGCGCGGAGGAGCGGCCGCCGTTACCCCCGCCACCTGTCGCCTTTCGCGAGCACGTCGACTGTCCGGCGCGCCGCCGTCTCGAGGAGAAGTACAGACTGAACGACGTCGGCGACGAGCGCGTCGCGTTGCTGCACGCCGCCTATGCGGATAATCTTAACGGCAACTACGGCGAGGCGCGCTTGCAGTGCGAGCAGCAGCAGCAACAGCCTTCCTCCCCAACCACCGCCACCTCCACCCCATCCACCATCTCCCATACCGACGTCAACATAGTGCCTAATTTCTATCAACTGCCAGCGAAGAGCGAGGCGTGTAGTGAAACCTACAAGAAGTACAGTATTTCGGAGGGCGGCGAGGAGCGGGGGCCTGGGCCGGGGCAGGATTCAACCAAGGGGCGGCAGTTTTGCGAGTTTCACGAATGCCTCGACCGGCCCTCGTACGACGGCGAAACGCTGCGCATCCTGCCGTACGTCATCATCGACTAGACGACTAGAAGAAGCAGCAGAAGAAGAAGACGCATGAGATGAACAAATACCCGCCCGCTAGTCCGCGCGGCACTCGCGCCTCCGTCCGCCCGCCACTCTATGCCGTTGCACATCGTTGATATTTGTACATATACTATTGTAAGTGATTGTTGAAAAATTGGAGCGGGCCGGGGCGCGAGTGTGCGCCGCGCCGAGGACTTTGTAAGACTGTGAATATCACCGCGAGATGATAGCCCCGATACAAAGCGTAATGATGAATATTAATTATTATTATTATTATTATTATTATTGTAATACTTTATTCGATTCTATCTGCGTCTGCATCCTATTATTTAGTACCAACCAGAGCGAGAGAAGCGCATTGTTTGATTACATGTATCTGAATTTGTTATTTATTCATTAAACAAATGCAACGAGAGCGTCCGCTGTCCGCTGCTGTCCTCACCAGCGAACCGGTGACAACCGGATCGCCGGGCATAGAGTTCACTCGCAGCCGGTCAACGCGGCCGGTTATTTCCAGTATCGGTCGCGCGATAAACGCCAATGTTGACCTGATAAGGGTGGAGTATAAATGCTGCGTGCGCTTTGAATTACGATGTTATATTTGTCTAAACTAAACTCTTCTCAACATGCCTCCGAACGTAAGTCAAAACATTGATAATCCTATTTTCATTCACTCAAATTTGATATTATCGTGTATAGTGGAAGTCTTCGGGTGTTGCACCGCCGGCACGCGCGTTGAAGATAGCTGTCATCGGCCAGAGTCAATTTGCTGCTGATGTTGTCGCCGCTCTGCAAGAACGCGGACATTCCGTGGCGGCCATCTTTACTATTCCCGATAAACAAGGCCGTGAAGATGCCTTGGCGCAACACGCACACAACCGTGATATCCCCGTGCATAAAATCCCGCGTTGGCGCACGGCGGGAAAACCCCTCCCGGATGTATTGGCGCTGTATCAATCCTATCAGGTTGATTTGAATGTCCTGCCGTATTGTTCACAGTTTATCCCCAAGGAAGTTGTGGATTTTCCTCGCTACCGCACCATCTGTTATCATCCTTCGATCCTTCCGCGGCATAGAGGTGCAAGCGCCATTAACTGGACCCTTATGTCCGGTGATACACGAGCTGGATTGTCTATATTCTGGGCTGATGATGGGCTGGATACAGGTCCTATTCTATTACAACGTGAATGTGATGTTGAAGAAGACGATACAGTTGATAGTTTATATCGCAGGTTTCTGTATCCTGTTGGGGTGAAAAGCGTGGCTACTGCTGTCGATATCATCGCTGAATTAGGAGTAGATTCGGCACCTATGATAATCCAAGATGAAACTAAAGCTACGTACGAGCCAATGTTGAAAACCCCGCAGCCGATTAACTTCAATCAAAACGCGCAAGCAATTCATGATTTTATTCGGGGATTAGACAGTGTCCCAGGCGCATCTTGTTATCTAGACGATGAGGAAGTTGTTCTCTTTCAATCTACAATCATTGAACACATGAATACTGAATTATTACAAGAAATGGTTCGAAAAAATGATGCAAAACAAGTGCACATACGCGATTGTCCCGCGGCGTGGTTATCGGATGAAGGTCTCATGCTACAATGCGCTGATAAGAATATCGTCAATGTTAAACGTATCCGGATCAATGGTAAGGTTCAACTCGCGGCGAATTTATTCGCTGGGTCATCGTCTTCGATTATTTGTGATTTCAACGATGATGAAACACAACTTATGGATAAGATGAGAGATATCTGGAAGGGTATTCTTTCTTATGATGATATCGAGGATGATTCGGACTTTTTTCAATGTGGCGGGGCGTCAATGGATGTAGTCAGGTAATAATTATATATTTTACTTGAAATTTAGAGTAAAATATAATAAAAAATGTTTTTTTTAACAGATTGGTTGAATCCAGTAAAGATTTACTAGAAATCCAACTTGAAAACGAACATGTCTTCCTAAATTCATCCTTTTTGGAGTTTTTTAACGCTTGTATCATTTTAAAACGTGAAAGTAACGGCACAGAAGGTCCAGCAAAGGTAAAATACGAAGGCGTAGAGTTTAACGCCAATAAACTTTGCATTAACTGCCCTACACAATTATTCATCGATGGGAAATTTGTTAATGCTACTGCACATGAAGGACGATCCACAGAAACTGACGTAATCAATCCGCACGATGAGAAAATCCTCTGTCGCGTACAATCCGCATCGAAGTTAGATGTTGACAAAGCTGTGCGAGCTGCAACGAAAGCTTTCAACGGTGAGTGGACCAAAATGTCCGCCCGGGAACGCGGTAAAAAGCTTCTAAAACTCGCCGATTTAATGGAAGTACATCGAGAGGAACTGGCTACTCTCGAATCGCTGGATTCTGGCGCTGTGTATACACTCGCATTAAAAACACACGTCGGTATGAGTATTGAAACATGGCGATACTACGCCGGGTGGTGTGATAAAATTCAAGGTGAGACTATACCGATCGCAAGCGCTAGACCGCAGAAAAATTTATGTTTCACCAAACGTGAACCGATTGGCGTATGCGGATTGATCACACCGTGGAATTATCCTTTGATGATGTTATCATGGAAGATGGCGGCTTGTTTGGCAGCTGGTAATACTTGTGTGATTAAACCAGCGCTTGTTTGTCCACTGACAGCGTTGAAGTTTGCTGAGTTGACTGTACTCGCAGGTATACCTCCGGGGGTTGTTAATGTGTTACCTGGAAGTGGCACGGTTGCAGGCGCAGCATTAGCTGAGCATCCGGATGTGCGCAAAATAGGTTTCACAGGTAGTACTGATATAGGAAAGGTTATCATGGCGTCATGCGCAGGGAACCTGAAGAAACTCTCATTGGAACTCGGCGGTAAATCCCCGCTGGTGATATTTGCGGATTGTGATCTTCAGAAAGCCGTCCGCGTTGCAATGCAGGCTGTTTTCTTCAATAAAGGTGAGAATTGTATAGCGGCCGGGCGGATCTTTGTCGAGGCTGGCATCTACGATGAATTCATCGAGCGTATTGTAACGGAAACCAAAAAGATCACCATTGGTGATCCGTTTGATAAGAGTACAAACCACGGTCCGCAGAATCACCTCGCGCATTTACGTAAACTCGAAGAATTTGTTAAGATCGGCGTGGAAGATGGCGCTGTTTTAGCCCTGGGAGGTAACAGATTACCACAACCAGGTTTATACTTCCAACCGACTGTTTTTATCAACGTACAGGACAACATGCGCATTGCCAAAGAAGAATCCTTCGGGCCTATCATGTGTATCTCACGATTTAAGAATAGAGACTTTGATGGAGTGATACAGAGAGCCAACAGGACAGAATATGGTCTGGCAGCTGGTGTTTTCACTTCAGATGTCTCTAAAGCACTCAGATTTTCAGAAGCAATCAAAGCCGGCACTGTGTTTGTTAATACCTATAATAAAACCGATGTGGCCGCTCCGTTTGGCGGTTGTAAACAGTCTGGTTTCGGCAAGGACTTAGGTGCTAGGGCATTAGAGGAGTACTTAACAACTAAAACTGTTACACTTGAATATTAATTAATTATTTTATTATACAATTATGATTAGGGCGATTATACTGATGAAGGTGTTCAAAACATTGTTTTTTGAGCCAAGGAAGTCTTCATTACCTGTGCGTTCGATCCTCTGCTTAATTATCCCTCTTGACGCTGATTTCCGGTCGTAAACAAGCCCGAATTTCGCAAGGGTATCGATAAATGCAGTTGTGATGTTTCTAGAATCACCGCTCAACTCAGCCGCCTTGTAATCCCACGGGAATGTGTGGTGGTAGTTGTGGAATCCTTCGCCACCACTAGCAAAGGAAACAAACGTGTTTTCTGCCGGTGGGATGTTTGCATCGTACGGACGCCAGCCGTATAAATGTGCAAAACTATTCACGCTCCACGTCGCGTGGAGAATTAACAACAATCGCCAAAAGCAACAATAAAATACCGCGACTTCCACGCGCTCATTCCAGCATAATATCGGAATGACACATGGTAATAGTAGTGTGAATATAATCGCTAATGGTTTGTTGTATTTGTGTTCGAACATAACGACGGGATTGGCGCGCAAGTCGCTCAAGTCAACTTTGGCACCTTTGCGTGTGATTTCCGGGTGTTTACGCAGGAAGAACCATCCGATGTGACAGAAGAAGAAACCACGCTGGGAGTTGTACGGATCAGCGTCGGTGTCGCTGTGGATGTGATGCAGGCGATGGTCACGACACCAAAGGTAGATACTCTGTTCGTAAACGCTGGCGGCCATTATTGCCAGGAAGATTTGAACGGAGTAATGCGCTTTGTACGCGCGGTGACTCCAAAGGCGATGGCGGCCTGCTGTTATGCCCATGCCTTGAAATATTATCTGTGCTACATCTACAAATCATAATAATTAATGTTTTGTTTGTAGGTAATTAATTATGTGGCGCTTACTGAAGACGAATGACTGCCATTTTGGAATGAAGTAGTATTTGGCATAGACACCGTACAATCCGGCAAGGTGTACGGTTGTAATCAGGAAGACATTGCGCCAGACAATGTCCCATTTATAACTTTTTTGTTTTAGTTCTGTTGGTGATATGTCTGTCGACATTTTGTTGCTGTTACTGATCATGGAAAATTTCGCGCTGGGTTTTCATGACAATCATGGGAATTGCTGAAATTCTTGCACCGGTGTTTTTGTTTCCAAGTTCCTGTTATTATCGCATACGTGGAATTCCCAACGGTGAAAATAACCAAGCATTCATCGTTTCCTAATGAGTAATCCGCATAAATATAGTAGTTGAAAATAAGTAAACGGACGCAAATTGTATTTAGCAGGTTCGAATTCAATTTACATTTTAATTTAAAAATGTTTGCATGTTTCCTCGTTATAATTTGCATCGCTGCCAAAGTAGGTGAACAAAACGTAATTTGTTTAATGGCACACAATAACAACCTAATGAAGCAGGCGATGTTTAATGTGCTTGTCGGATGGAAATCACCTTCATCGAATTACATTCGTTTCGGATAGAACACGTTCTGTATAAAAACACGATGCGCAACTTGTACAACTAAATCGAATCGAATCTGCCGCCATTCGAGATGAAGGCACAGTTTGTTTTATTCACCATCGGGGTGCTTATGTTAAGCCATATAGGGTATGATAGAAATAAAATATTAAACGAATATATTTTGTAAAATTGCATTGTTGCAGGCATGTTGCCAATGGTACCGCCCTGGATGAATTGCGAGTGATCGCACGATCAAACCCAGGACTTCTGGAGTCTGTCCTGCATCTCCTTCAGCACTGTCAGAAGCCAACTGTGTTAGCAAGCAGGTTCTATCCGGGGATGATCCCGGAAAGCCCAAGGTCACACTCCAACTCATCCGCAAGTATATCCACCTCCATCGGATGCAAACGATGCCTCGAGAATGAAAAACGCAATTTTGTTGCTGTGCCATCAGCGGACAAGAATTGGCATGACTTTCTTGTACGTTTTCAGGCGAAAATACCCAGACATATGCTCGGTACGCATCGAAACCCTTATAGTAATAACATAAAACACATTTTACGTTGTAACATTGTTTGTAGATTTAGAACATGGCCGAGTGGCGCGTTCGGTTTTAAATGGCTACTACACGTTTCTCAGCCTGGTGAAGAAGGCAACCGAAGCAAAGCAGGTTACAGTGGAGAAGGAAAGAAAGCAGGTAGAGTGGGTGCTTCAGGATGAATAAATGTATATTTTACCATCTGAAATGTAACAGTTTATTTGTTATTAATCATACGGGGGTACACGGTGGAACTGCGACGCCGCTGTCTACGCTCTTTTGCTTTCTTACTACATACCCTTCTAATGTGCTCGTAGCGTTTATGGCAAAACGCAACAGCTCGGCGACAGAAATCTGCGGCTGATGGTGCAGCTTTAGGTACTCCTGGAAGCTCTCCAATATTGACCACGATATTGATGGGCTGCTGGCATCTAGGGTTAGAATTTAATTAGTATTTAAATCACGCGTGTCCTTTGCGCTTACCCACCGTAAGCCTGACCCTGTGCGGCTATAAAGTTCAACCACTGGGGATTACCAACCGGTGGCCTAAACTGCATCGTCTTGTAGGGTGTTAAATCGATCGGGATCATCTTGCAACGGCAGGAAGCTTTCGTTGGTTGCTCGAAAGTACCAAACAGTCCTGGATTTGCTTGTAGTAATGCCGCTCTGATATCAGGAGTGATAGGTATCTCTACGGTTTGGTCGTCTTCTGCGCCTACAAGTACACCTACAAAGAGGAATGCAACTAATACCGGTAATAACATCTCGTCTTGTATGTTATGACTGGAATATCAGCAGTGTTTTTATAATGCATTTAATAACGCATTTAATAAAGTAATTCATCAACTTTGTTGATTAATAGCGTTAATAATGAGATTAACCGCTATTATTTAAGATTACAATGAGCCATTTGTGAGTTTAATGTGTTGCTCCCGTGGGCAATTTGGTTGAACACGTTGCTAATCAGTATCGCTATTAGAATAATTACGAGGTGATAAGGGAAGTAAATACTTTTATTCGTCATTTAGTGATATTGATTAATGTGCGCGTTGATATTTTAGCCGAAGATCATGTTGAGGAGATTGCCTAAGCCATTATTTGCTGGTTGTCCGCCATTACCGCTACTTCCGGTTGATGGTTCCGCTTTGGATTCAATCGGGGCGTCCGCATTGGGGCACTGATACATCCTGCGTAGTTTCATTACATCACCCTTGCTGAACCCGGCACGTTGGCCCATTTTTATCACGCCATCCGGTTTCCTGCGTGCGATGATGGTGGCTTGACCGTTTTTAGAGAAGGCTTTCTCACTGTAATGCATCACAGAGTTGAAATCATAGGGTACACCGTATCCGCTGATGGTTTTCTCATCAATTTTCTGAAAATTGTTGTTTCTTCCAGCTTGGATGTTTGACCAGACGATATCCACGTTGTCATCACGCTCGAAACGGTTCTGTTCGTGCATGAAACCAGCGGCATGCATCAATTCATGGATCGGGGTGCCTACCTGCGAGAAACAACCGGGTGTTTGCAGATTGACTACCTGTTTACCCCCGACGCGACCCACTGATGACCAGCAGCCAGTGTTGGCGTTCTCCAACACGACATAATCAACATCTGTTGAAGCACGAGGCCGGAAACGTAGGCAGGTATAATGTTTATAAGCATCCATTGCGTCTGATATCAACCCAAGTTCACGTTGATTGAAACTACCACGTATTTCATAGGGGATGATCCCGTCCTTCCAGTGGCTCACCTCGGCGATGAGGCCGTTACGCCCGTTGGGGAATAGAATGTCACCTTCGAAGTATTCTCCGAGTTCTTCTGGGTTTACAGCGTCGTCAGCGGCCGGGTCGAATCCTTCAAGACGTCGGCCTGTTTCACGACTTGGTGAACCAAGCGGAGCGCTACCAAGAAATGACAAGTTGATCATCTTGGTGTGTTCTGCAGGTGCGGCAAACACCACGCTTGCCCATATGGTGAAGATGGTGAGGCACTTCAACATTGCTACTTGCATGTTGGTATATATTTGGCTAGTTGTTTTTAGTTGTTGTTTTTATTGCGTTTATATACGCATCGCATGCGGTGCGGTGACCTGCTTTGGCTGATAACTTTCGTGAATTTCGGTCGAATTATGCGCGTTTAAGAATCTACTGATAGTGTTTAATTTGTTGCTTCCTTTGAATGATAATGATGTACACAGCAAATTTTTAATTGCCGCCCGGGTACGATTTTCATTTGCATATTGTTTTGCTAATCTTAGCTAGGTTTTGATTAATCCTGAACTTGTGCGCGTACAATAACGTCGCACAAGTCTAATTATTCAAAATTTAATCTTGAATATTAATGATGATTGAGTTAATTGTTGGGAAGTACCCGGGGCTTAAAGTATTCTTTAATTTTCATAACATTTTAAGCCCTTAAATCATTAGAAAGTGCCTTAAAACGTGTTCCAAAACTTGTTCAAACTTGGTAGGATCAAATGGACGTCCGTCCTGCATGTTTGGCGCGTCCAAATGGACGTCATCGATGCATGGCACCCGGCCAAATGGACGTCAGTTACTGGCTGTGCTATACATTTGGAACGTCCATTTGGATGTGTCCCATGAAGCAATGACGACCATTTGGACGCGCCAAACATGCGAGACGTCCATTGGAATTTTTAATTTCTGATTTCAGATTCCCATTGATAAGAGACAAATCTTTCATCAACATACTCAATATATTGCAATCATCATACAAAATAAATACAAGATACAAATGATTCTAGGGTGAAGACTACTCTTCCTCCTCCTCCCCCAGGTTTAGAGCGTTCATGCGACGTTCTTGTTCGGCCAGCAGGAATGGATCCACTTCAGTGGGTTTCTTAATGATTCCGTACTTCTCCGCAATTTGCAGACATTCTTCGGCAATTACAATAACCTTACGTCTTGTTTCATCCTCCAACTTCGTCACCGCCATGGTCACCTCCATAACATCAGTGGCAATGATCTTTTCCGCCAACTCTTTCGAATTGGCGAGCAGGTTGCGCAAGATAACAACACCGCGATACTGCACGTCAACATTCGCATGTGATAACATGTACTTAATCGATTCCTCCCACGACTTAGCATCGAAGAACTTCTCGCAGCATTTCTCGCTGCTGGAAGTCAAAATAGCAAGGGCGCCTGACGCAGCCATCGTGGTTTCCAAGTCTTCATCGAGGACCAATGCAACCATGAACTTCATTTTGTCATTGTCACCTTCGTAGACTTTGACGACATCAGGAGACATCGCCATGTTGCAGGTAGCCTGTGCGGCGGCACGGCACAGCATTAGATGGTCTTCATAAAGATAGTGGTCAATTTTACCAAGACCACCTTCTTTCAAAATACGCTGGCGTGCCTGCTCGCTCATCTGCGCAATATTACACAAACCCATTAACGCTTCAAAGTTTTCCAGCGCTGTACAATCATTCGCCAGGAGGTTAATCAACGGACGAATGACTTCCAAGGCTCGTTGACCAGGAAAAGCCACTTCTGGGTTCATCGTGATGGCGATACGACTCAACGCTTGCGCCGCATGACGTTTCCCCATATCAGTACCATTCAGACTCAGAGGAATCAACGTCTTGGACCCGCCCTGCGACACAACAATACCCCTAAGCTCCTTCTCTGAACACAACGCATTAAACACCCTAGCAATCAGTTCCTTTGAATTATGTGACTCTGTTTTAGCCAGGGCAACAAGCGCTGTGGTAACACCAACTTCTCCTAGAATCATCAAGCGTTTAGTAACAAAATCCGGATCGTCGAATGTATGCTCCTCGGGGATATGGTGCTTAGCAAACTTGGCCAACTCAACAAGCTCGGGAACCATTTCCTGCTTCTCGTATGCATTGCATAAGTTTACCAGAGTGGTAACTACACCATACAACACACTCTGATCACCTGTCTTGGCCAATTCAATGAGTGCCAGCAGAGCAGGTTTGTCCTCGATCAACTTCTCCTTCACCTCGGCATCCAAGGTCAAATAACTCAGACCCTCCGCGCTCCACTTGCGAATATCCTGATCCTTACCAGGATGCAACAGGAAACGTCGACAAGCTTCGGCTAGTTTCAAATTAGAACCATCGGCGAATGGTTTGATGGAAGCATCATTACCTCCAGAACTACCAAGTTTACACAAACCAACAAGCGCACGCACACGGATGTTATCATTGGAAGACACATAGAGTTTCTTAAGTATGTCTACACCTTGAGTGATAATAGCCTTGGCTTTGTCCTTTTTACTAGCAGCAGCAATAATACATTCGACAGCGACTTTCTGTTGCAGCGGATCGTCCAGAGTGTTCGCCATGACTAAAATCATCTCCATGATACCTTCTTTGCCGATGATAGCGTTGCCCACATCCAAGGGACCGCGTAATAATGCGGTAATGGCCACAATCACCCTTACTTTATGCTCGATTTCAGGCGATAGTAGTTTCTCTTTGAGGAAGACATCAATGTGAGACATGAACTTGTCTCGCGCTTGGTCATAGTACATGTTTTCATAGACGCGTGCCAAACACACAGCGGCGACTGTACGTGTAGATGGCGTTATAGCCATTGCGGACTCATATTTGTACTCTTCTAATTCCGAAGCGACTTCCATGAGTCTCTCAACGCCTCCAATCTCTACCAAACGCTCCGCCCATGAGAGATATGTGTAGTGAATGTTACGCATTAGCAGTTCCATGATGGAATCGCGTGCGAGCCCGCTGATCATCCGGTTGTTAATGGCGTATACTAAGCAGCTGAGTAGTGTGTCGATTTCTGCTTTGTGTTGTTCACACATACTCTGTACGGGTTTCGTGTCCGGTTTGTTTTCCATACCGGAGAAGGAGTTTAATATTACTTGCATGCAATATTGCGCGGCGTTAACTTGCTCTGCATTAGTCGAGTCGAGAATTTCAAGAAACCATGGGATTCCTACATCGCGTAGAATGTGTCGTGTACGCTCCGGGCCGTGTTTGCATAGCTCACCGATGATGCGGATGCTTGTCACGTAGATTTCCTTGCTCTTTTCTACTTTTAGAAGGCGTTTGATTTGTTGCACAACTAGTTTCTTCAGCATTATCTCTGAACCGGCCTTCTCGCGAGCTAGAACTAGTAGATTATTGAAGGCACTCTCGCGTTTTTCTCGATCGCTTGACACATCAAAGCAGAGTTTGATCATGGAGTCCACTTTGTTTGAAACTTGTGAATTCTCTTTGGCTCTCTTCTGTGTAATCTTGAACAGGCGCTCTAATACTGGTTGGATTGCCTTGTTGCTTGGGTCTACTTTTAATAATTGGGTAGCATCTCTGTAGGCTTCCTCAAATCTATTAAACAATGATAATATTAATAATTTATTAATGAAAATATTAATTTATCATACCTTTCAACTGCTTCCAGTGCTTGGCATCTCCTAAACAATGCTTTGGGATCCATGGGAGCAAGCTCCAGGCTCTTGTCACAATCCCTGATGGCATCTTCAAACTTCTCCTGCTTGAGATAAGCAGCTGCTCTGTTCTTGAGGTAAACAGCCATATCATGGCTGTCATTGTTGAGGACATCAATGGCTTTGGAGTACTGAGCCACTGCAGTCATCCAGTCGGCGTTTTTGAATGCCACATTGCCCTGCTCCTTGTAATTGTTTGCTTCATCTAGCCGGTCAGTGCCCATTGCTCTGTTTACTTTTGACTGAAATCAGCAGGAGCGGTAGGTGTAACCAAATATTAGATTGCAGATGTTTAAGAGAGGGCTTACTTTGAATTACTGGAAGCTGAACGGCGTGTTCCATTAATATAGGGCAATTCGCACGTGCTGGGAGAGTCGAGAAGCCTCTAGAACAAGTCGAAATATAAATACATCGCGTTATAATTAGATTTTCTAACCGTGGAGAAACTTAGGCAGGAACCACCGCATTGAATACGAGTTTAAGTATGCAACCAAAACTGCACAATAACCTTCAATGGCTACATACTTTGTGGAAACTTTGAATGCCAAAGGCGAGAAAAGCCCGGAAAACTCTGGAAGTACATCGTTATCCACCACAGGGAAAATTCTCATAGGTGTGACAGGTATCTGCAGTTCAATTAAGCACCTAAACGGAATTATTAATACCCTCTCTTCCCTTCTAGGAGGCATAGCATTAGGACTATCTGTAGTATGCGCGTCTTTTGTAAGTCCAGCATTCCGCCGAGTATGCCTCCCTTACATCCCAGCAACCGAACAGCAAGTCCTCAACGTCTTCAACGCATTAAAGACCAAACATCGACATGGTCTACTCATTGATCTGGGCTCGGGCGATGGCCGCATTGTGTTTGAAGCCGCCAAACACAATTTTCAACCACATGGAGTAGAACTCAACACATGGCTGGTTGCCTACTCAAAACTATCAGCATTCTTAAATCGCGCCGCAAACCCCACCGTTGCATTCTACCAGAAAGACTTGTGGAAATTCCCTTTGGGAGCCTATGACAACGTGGTGATATTCGGCGTGGAGCAAATGATGCACGAGCTGGAAGCTAAATTGCATCGGGAATGCAAGCCTGGCTGCCATATTGTCGCATGCAGGTTTCCATTACCGGGGATGAAACCGGAAATCACAGTTGGCAGCGGCGTAGACACGGTCTGGCTGTACAAAATCCCGAATAAAATTAGCTAAAAGGCACACACACACACACACACATGCTATGCAGTTGGAAATAGTTTAATCTTTTTGATAATTGCATTCACTATTAGAAGTTAATCATACAATATATTAGCGAGTCAAATACCTAGACGCGTTCAAGTGTTAAAATCGATGTGACTGTCCTCAGTTACCTTCTATAATAAATCTATGTGTTTATAAAAGATAAATATCTAATTATTATCATCAAGTCAAGTAATTTTTGGCCTACGTTTCAAAATTGCGATTAGTGTCGTTTTTGTAACTTGACGTGTTCGCGGCCTAGAGTGTAAGCATTTACCGTGTGTGCCCGCGCTAGACATTCAGGATGCGAAAGATCAGCTCGAGCACAATCGTGCCGTCGCCAACGTTGCCCGACGAGGTGATACGGTGCAGCACCGGTACCAACTCATTATCCAACGATTTCATATAGATCGGCGGCAGTTTCTGCCCGTTACTACCCGCGGCGTAGCTCACGTCGTCCACATGCAGCGTGGTGCGGATGCCAATCTTCATAAAGCTATTCGTAGCGAGTAAATCTAGGTACTTGACGAGCGCCTGACACGTCGCCTTCGAGATACTCTCGGCGACCTTGGAGATATCGACAGGGTCCTGTGTGCGGGCGTTTTCTTCGCCGCTCTGGAGGAGGAATACTTCTGTCCAGCGTACAAGACGAGCGCCGGAATTGCACGTGTAGTCTTTGCCATTGTGGACCCGAATCGATGGTACACCACTTAACGATTGACCATCAACTGAAGATTTAACCCTGTAAATGCACATTTTTTTAGTATTATTTAGTTTAAAACATTAAAAAATGTGTTTTTCTTTTACCCTAGATTAAAATTAACATCTGCTTCACTCCATACAATGTTTACAGTCTCGTCAGAGGCGACATTCACGCAGCCACATTGAATACTGTGGTTCTTCATGTTGCGCAGACTTTCACGCACCTTCACCATGTGCTCCGGAGGTATCTGGATCATCAGCCCGTCTTCTACGATACTAGACTTTGCAGTAAGACCACTAGAAGACTTCAACGCGCCGTTGAACACGATAAAACTAGCACCAGTAACTAAAAAACATTTAAAATCAACAAATATATTGCAAAAAACAACTTAATTTAAGTAAAATACCTTTTCTTGGTTTGTTTTGTATATTAATCGCATGTGTCTTATAGTTATTCTCATCGCTCCCTTGAGTGTCTTGTATGCACACAAGATGCGAGTCTGCTTCCGACGAGAAATTCCCACCGAAAGCCAAAATATGCTCGCTGGAATTACTCATCGACTTCATCACTTGATCATATCTATTCACGGGAATCGATACAGTCGTGCTTTTCTCCTCCATGTGAATAGTCAACCCGCGAATATTGGGTAGCGTATACGAGAAATTACGAAAATCAGCGAGTAAGTTGATGATTGTGTGGCCTATCTCAACAAAAACCGAATCACGATGTCGTGTTGATATCAACGGCGCTGGATAATATCGATACTCAGCACCCAGCCGTAAAACTAATCGCAGCGGAAAGATTCTCGCCCATGGTGTCTCCCAGCGGTGTACCAGGACACCCACAAGATACGGCTCCTTCGGTACGATAACATTCTGCAAGCATTGAAATGTCGGCCGTACGAAAATAAACCCCGCATGATTGCGCGAATCCAAAAAGTTCGTAGTCGGATGAATGCTCAAGCCCAACTCGGTTACAGTCGTGCCCTTCACAGCTGAATTATAGATATTATTCAGATGATGAAACACATCTTTAGGCACCTGTGCCTCGCCCTCAGCATATTCCAACAGGATAACAATCTCATCTTGTCCGACAGCAATCAATCCTTCCGTGGAGAAACACCATGCTTGTTTATTAACGCAGCAATCCATGAGAATGAGTCGTACGTGGATGTGCAGATTGCGCTGCACCGCAAACGTGAGCGTTTCGTTTTTTAGCATTTCCACCACATTGGCGTTATTACCACACTCTGTATACGTGATATCTGATTTATAAGTAGTGACCGTAGGTGGCAGGCAATTCTCATTCTCTGGTATGAATGATTGTGTGACAGGGTCCACCATGGGGAGATTCTTGTTGAGTTTAATTTGCTGCGCGGGTTGGGAACTTGCTTTCTTGACTGCAACACCCGATGTGGATTTGCGACTGTCGTTGTAGTTGAAATCCTGGTCTAGGTTGGTGAGGTCGCTGCCTGGACGAATGCCATCGCAGAACATTACACTCTTGTTGTGCTTTTTATTCGAGCCTACAGGCGGAAGGGGTCAACTTCAACTACGCTTTCTACTAAAAACTTTATACATACCTTTACGTTTGAGAACACCTACAGGTACCATTACACTTGGGGTACTTCCACCAGCACGTACTTGTTCATGCGGCGGGACCACACTGCAATACTCCATCGGATTATTCGGATTAGGCTGACCTGCAGCAGCCGCAGCATCGCCTGTAATGTCATTATCGCGTCGTGGTGTCGAATGTTGCGAGTCACCACTACCGCTGTCTGTTTCCCTTGCGAGTGCTTCATGACACCTGGTGCATACACGTGCCTCTGCGCCTAGATACTCCAACTTGTGTTTCATGCCGCAACACTTGGAGCAGAGGACTAGGCCGCATGCACGGCAGTGATGCCGGCGTTTGATGACTGTGAATTTGAACTCGCAGTGCTGGCAATTCAGCGCGTCTGCGTCCGGTGTCCAGATAGGTGCGCGTTTACCCAACCACGCTGCATCTAAACCACAAAATAAACAAATTAATTATTAAATAAAAATAGGGGTAAGGTAATGGTGTGGTACCTTCATGTTCATGCGCATGCGCATGCAAGTCCTCAACAGGTTCCAAAATAGAATTAGAATTAGCGTTTGCTTCGGCTGGGGCAACCTCAGGCCCCGCATCATGATTAATACAGTCTAAATTAACAAAAACCATAAAATAAACATCAAACTACAACTAATAAACACAAAAATCACCCACTACTGTCAATTACCTTCTTCTGACATCAACTGATGAGCAGATGTCTCATTCTGTTCTTGATCATCAACATTTTCTTCATTTAAATGAACAGAGGCTGGGTTTTCCTCTGCAACTACAGCATTATCCTGTGTAACTGTTTCCTGCGGTAATGTTGTTTGTTCTACTGAATGCACAGAATCAGTAGAGGCTTCCGAAAACGTCGGGGACACAGAAACAGACGATCCAGACTCATATTGTGCTTCCACAGCAGACTGCGGCATTTCTTTACTCACGTAGACATTATTATACGGAGTTGAACCAGGATTTCCTAAAAAGTAACAAAAATCAACATAAAAACACCTTGAAAAACATGTTTTTTCATATTTACCTATTAAATTAACCGCGTCTTCTTTGATATTCAAACTATTGGGCCGTTGGGTCTCCATGCCAACCTCACAAACAACTTCATTCTTATCTTCTTCAACATTTTCTTTTATATCTACAGGTGTAACAACGACAACATCGACAGGACTAACCGTAACAGTCGCATCATGAAAACTCTCTTCTTCTTCTTCATCTTCTCCGTCTTCTAGATCAGCCAGGTATTTCGCCGCCTCCTCGTCGGCCACCTCAATGTGGAAACCTATTTTATCACAGTACGTTTCAGTCATAGAATCTAGATTCGAGTTTGAGTTGATGTCAATCTCGATAATTTCAACGTTTTCCTCCACAACTTCGGCTGGTGGCTCAACGAACGCGGGTTTTTCTTCAATGGAAGGCGAGGCGAACACTTCTTCCACTTCCACTTCTTCTTCTTGTGTCAACTTGTCATCTTCAGGTATTTCTGAAGTGTTTTCAGCTTCTTCTGGTTGATTACATCCATTTACTTCTTCTAATTTTACTTCTGCAGAGTATTCTTCATGATTATCACCCTCCTCAGCATTAATATAATTATCTAAATCTAAAAGTTGATTATTTTCACTTGCAGTGACAATTTCCTCAAGTTTTTCTTGCCATGTGTCATCAACGACTTGCGAATCTTCTATTTTCAATAAAATCGGCTGCGCTATTAAACTTTCCAGTGGTTTTTCCTTCACCGGCGTCATCTGCACGACCGCAGGAGTATCCAGCGTGATATCTTTGACATCTTGCGGATAAACAGGACTCGCAGCGGCGTATAAGTTGCTTATAGATGGATACTCTACGATATTTCCTGCTGCGGTGCTCTCGCTCGCATGCGCATCCGTCCGACTTTCATATTTATTGTCGACGTTGTTATACTGGACAATATTCTCGTTGATTTCCGTCGCGAGGTAATCATTCAGGCTGCTGAACACATTATTGATGGAATGCTTGGTGCTGCTGTAGTTTTTCTGCGGAACCCGGGGCACCGGTGGTGGAGGCGCCTGCTCGGTGGTAAGCTCGCTGTACTCAAAGTCGTTGAGCACCTGGTCCAAGTCCACGGTGTACTTGTCCATTCTCTACGAGTTATTGCAGAATAAACGTTAGTTATTACGCAAATAGTCGCTAATTGGAAGAATTCATGTGATTGGTTGCAATCATAGCTTACCTATGCGCGCCGTAGTTCAGAATTCTTCAGAGTAACATTTCGCCAAGCGAAGCAAAGGTAATCCTCTGGATATCTTGGCTTTTCCTGATGAAGAAGTAGTACGGTTCAACACATCAACAAATGCAAAATGACTAACATAACGTCAGGCGAAACGTCAACCTCACTTTTATCCCAAGGTCGATGTCAGAGTTGACCTTTGCCTGTGTACAACGTAATTACAGGTGGAGATAATTAGCGAGAATCGATGATGCGCCTGTCGGATATGACACTAGGGCCGTCAGACAGGAAAATTTCAATCAGCCCGGGTGCGAAAGGTACGAAATTTGCGAAAACTCTTTCGTCTCCCCGTCGTCCGCCATGTTTTGCTGGCATGCGCATCGAGTGGACCGCCAAATTCAAAGTGCGCCCACCCTTTGATTCGGCCCGCAATCACCCTCATTCCCTCGCAATCGTGATAACAAGCGCAATTTAAATTCGGTCTGTGTTTGGGTATAAATTTGTGTCGCCGAAAAGTCCACAGTCCAAATTACCAGGCGAAAGTTTATTAATAAAATACAGTGGTGTGTGTGAACAAAGCGGTGATTCCAACTTGTGGATGCACCGCAATGTCGAGCAGGCTAGTGCGTAAGTCACGCGGTGGCAGCAGCAGCAGCAAGAGTGCGGGCGAGGGCAGCACGACGCTTGGAGCGCAGTCCGCCGCCCCCCAGCGCCGCGTAAACATGGCGGACGCCAACGACGGCTGGCCGCTGCATCGCGCCGTCTTCGAGAACGACCTAAAGGCGGTGTCGCGCCTACTGCGGAAGCACGATGCAGCTGAACGGGATAAACATGGTGAGAAACCATCAACAATCAACATCTCATTACTCATCTTGTGGCCTCTTTTACAACCTACATAACAAAGGTTATGTATGTTTTAATCTTAATGTACATCCTAATGTTTTTAGGTAACACTCCACTGCATCTGGCCGTCATGCTGGGGAGGAAAGGTAATTTACTACCACTCGGCACCAACACGCGTTAATGTTAAACTTACTTTGTAGAGTGCGTCCAGTTGCTGTTGAAGCATGATGCACCTGTCAAAGTCAAGAATAGCCTAGGATGGACAGTCCTCTCAGAGGCAATCAGCTACGGCCACCGACCAACCATCTACTCGTTAGTACGCAAGTTCCGCCAGCAGAGCCGCGAGCAGATGGAAGTCCGCCGGCCGAATCTAGTTGAAGCCCTCAATCAAATCGACGACTTTTACATGGAACTCAAATGGGACTTTCAGTCATGGGTCCCGCTGGTATCACGTATCCTACCCTCGGATATCTGCAAGATATACAAGTCAGGCGCTAACATTCGGCTGGACACCACTCTGGTTGACTTTTCAGACATGCGCTGGGAACGCGGCGATATTTCATTCATATTCAACGGTAATGCGCCGCCAAGCCAATCATTAACCGTTCTGGACAACGTCCTTAAAGTATACCAGAGTGTAAAGTATGAAGAAAGCGAGATGGAGATCGAGGATGAAGTTGATTTGTTGATGTCGACTGATATTCTCGCAGCGCAGATTTCCACCAAGGGAATATCTTTTGCGCGTGCGCAAAGCGGGTGGATATTTCGCGAGGATCGCACCGAGATGGTCGCCGGGCAGTACGCCAGCGAGTTGTACATCGTGCACGGCCTAGTGTTGGAGAGCCGCAAGCGACGTGAGCACCTATCGCTCAATGACCTGCAGAAAAACAAAGCGCTGCTGGAGAGTTTCACGAAAGGCGGCGGTGGTGCACAGACGTTCGACTTTAACGGCGCGCCTGTGCGTCGCTCCAGCCTCAGCCCACCACCGGATAAATCCATCACATGGCAACAGTATGTCGCATGTGAAGAAAACTGTTATCCACGTTTAGGCCGCGATCTAGTCTATAAAGAATCATCAAAGAACTTCAAGGCGACCATTGCGATGAGTCCGGAATTCCCGCTGTCGGTGGAGATGCTGCTGAACGTCCTGGAGGTGATCGCGCCCTTCAAGCACTTCTCGAAACTGCGCGATTTTGTTTCATCCAAATTACCGGCCGGTTTCCCTGTCAAAGTGGAGATTCCTATATTACCGACCGTCACCGCAAAGATCACGTTTCAAGCGTTCGAGTTCCGCGACGACATCCCCAAGGAGATGTTCCACAAACCGAAGGATTACATTGAGGACCCGATGCGCTTTCCCGACTTATGACGCCCCGAACTGCTCAACAGCTTCGAGGTGGCGTGCGTCGCGAAGCCGCGCTTCGTCATGCCGACGGATGTGTGTTATGCGCGCGCAGCGGCATCCCGGCAGCCGCCCGCCACCCATCAGTCGCCCACCGTCGCCGTCGAGCTGCCGATGCTCTTCACCCTCGGCAGCGTCTACTCGGCCAGCTGCCTCCTGTACATAGAATGAGCCGACGACGACCAAAGTCTGAATTTATACTTTCACACCCGCGCATTATACCAAAAAACAAACAAAACAAAAAAGAACTTAAAGTAATAATTAACATCATGTGCACACGGTGATGAGACGCGACGGCGACGAGATACCGCTTATTACATTCCAATCCACCGCTTAACATACACATATCACAACCAGAATCACAACCCCCACCACCGAACTCCTCTCATCCTTTTCTCTCTCTCTCTCTGTCATCGGCAGAGCGTCGTCTCCACCACCAGTGAAAAACATAATGAAATTTAGACGAATAAAGAGTATTTCTGTCAATTAACACACGGATAACATACAGATGGCATTTGCGTCGCTGCGTCTACTTGCATTATATATTTTCTTGTATAATTTACAATTTACAGCGTAGATCCTAGTTAAAATATGTACTCTTTCGCAACGTTTATCTCATCAATGTGTCTCTCTCCCCTGCACACTGACTGACTGCTTTCGTTTGATTCTCGTCTCGTTCCACGGCTAAAGAAAAGCGTGTCCACACAACACATCGATACACCTTAAATTAACAACAACGGTCAGCGCGCATGCGTGTGAATGTGTGTGTGATTGGTGTGTGTGTACATGTGTGTGGGAAGGGAATAATCTGACACAAACTCAACGCGTACACACGTCCGCCTCTTGCGCTGCAATTCAACAATTATTCAAAATAGATATCTATATCTTTGTTTATAGAATTTTCTCCCTTAAGTAGTAACTTACGCTTACTTAGCTTAGCTTAAAACTCGAATCACAAATCAACAATTCAATAGTGTGTGTATGTGGTGTGTGAGTGTGTGTGTGCACCTATCAAATACGGCGTAGTTTTCTTTTTGCTTATTATTAATAAGTATTATTAGTGTGAGGGGCGTCGTAATCTCTCATTAGTCACCTCGGAAATTGACTTCTTATCTTACGCGAAACTGAACAATCTAGAACGAACGCGGCCGCCGCGCGCGTCGAATACTGGTATTACAAAGGTGGGAAAACTAACTTAGCGATAATAAACGTAAATGCAGACATGGCGCGCGCATGCGCACGCCGTGATACTTTGTTTTTGGCAATCAAAGAGCACTCGCAACTCAATCTATGGCAAAATAATAAATAAACTAAGAGACTAACTTAGGATAGGTAGAAGTGTTTAATCTAGAGTAAAACGCGTGCCAACTGGCCTTCTGATACTGCAGTAGTGTGTCACTGGTTATCACAATGATGCGGCGGTGCCCAAAATTTGGTTAAGTACACGCTCTCGCCCTTCCCGCGCGCGCGCGCGCTTCACCAAAGACGAATCAAGTAGAGTGTAATAAATTACCGACTAATTTGTACATACTAATCAACACGACGTAAGTTTCTCTTTCTCTGTCTGTCCGGAAATAAAAACAAAGCGCGGGCATGAAATGGCCGCGTGAGTGAAGGTAGTAGTGAGTGCGCCGGGGCGCCGGCTGCCGCCAAAGTTGCCTACAGTACAGCCGCCACGTCCTTGGAGGACGGTATGAGCGGCGACAGCGGCGAGCTGACCTTGTGGCCGCGCTCAATTTCGTAATGTGTTAGATCCAGCGGAATGCCACTGTCGACCTGCGTCTTTGTAGGGATGAACGACGCCACGATGAGCGCGCAGACGACGAGGAAGGCGCCGAATACAAACGGCGGGCCGGGCACAAGCTAAAAAAACAAAACGAATCAGTATGTATGCAACCAACTTAACACATATCCACACTAATATTATATTTCAACATTTACCTGCGTGTAATTTTCAAAGCGATAGCTATCGTCATCGGCAGGCGTAGGCGCGCGTGTCACCTCCACGCCATCACCATCCACCACGGTCAAATCCACGTGGAACATGTAGAAAATCAGGCCGAACATGGCCGGACCAAGACCATTACACAGTCCGCGCATGCCCGTTACCATTCCCTGCACAACACCCTGTCTGTCGGCGTTGCTATGGATGGACACAAACGCTGAAATAGCTGGATAGGTGATACTCGACATGCTCGCCAGCATGCCAGCCGCCCACATCATCCACGTGGTCGTCCCAAAGCCATACCACAACAACTGCAGCATCTCAAAGAGTAAACCCAGCATGATTGTATGCTTACATCCAAGATTCTTCATCATCGTGCCGAGGAACAGCTGGGCGAGTACAGCGAGCAGCCCAACCAGCCCGACGAACACCGCCACCATCGGCGCGCTCCAGCCTATCACCAGCTTGAGATAAACAAAAATGCAGCTGTATTGTCCCGCTTCGGGCAGATAGGACAGGAACACAGCGATGCACAGTAGTAAAATAGTCGGATCTCCACCGACATTGCGCAGCGATGCAAACGGATCGGCTTGCTCCCAGCTGATGGGTGACACACGCACCTTTTCCGGCAGGCTTTCCGGCACAGCCACGAGGATAAAGAACACGTCGAGAATGGCAACGGCGGTGGCCAGCGCAACCACCACATTCATGCTCCAGCGTTCCATGAGGTAAGCGCCCAATGCAGGCGAGATAACCATCGACGCTGCGAATGTAGCGCTTACTAATCCATACGCAAAACTCCTCTCTTTTTCTTCAGTCACATCTGCTACGTATGCAAACACCACGCTGAAGGTGACAGCAAACACGCCGCTGATTGAGATCATCGCGAAGAACCAGAACGTGTTGATCGTCATCAGCGGTATTGGGAGGCAGGTGAAGAAGACTGTCACCAGCAGGAAGAGTTTCCTTCCGCAGACGTCTGATAATGCTCCGACGAGTGGCGCGCTGAGAAAGGATAAGATTCCTTTGATTCCCATGATCAATCCATTCATGAGGAATGTGTGATCGGGAAAGGTGGTGTTCAGCACGGAGATCACCGGCATCGTCAGCAGGCCCCACGCGAAAAACTCCAAGAAGATCACTACCAGCGCATGGTACAATGAGGGCATACCAATGCCGCTGGTCTGTAAGAATATAAGCGTTTTTAGTAAATAATTTAATTGGAATAGTGTGTGAAGGGTGCTCACGAGGATGCGGCGTAAATACAGCCGCACCAAGAGACGCGGCCGCCCCAGATACCGCTTGAACAGGTAGTACGCGACCAGCATGCACATGACACCCTGCACCCTGCCCGACGCCGTCACACCTAGAGAGCGCAACAATTCATTCCAGCATCAGCGCTGCATCAGAGAGCGAAATATCCACACACGACACGCCAAAATCATCTATCTCTACCTGTGCAAACAAAGCGTGCACACAAACACGCACGTCATTATGTCGCAAACGCAGTTGTTTGCTGCTTTTGCTGCGTCTCAAGGGTACGACGACGACGACGGGCGCATGTGTATGTATTATGTGTTTGTGTGTATGTGGGCAACCCGCAATGGCAGCCATCAGCGGAAAAATCAAACCAATGCTCATCACTAGCGGAGAGTTTCTAATTGTATTAGATTCGCTCGCTTATGAGGATATCATCATCACCATATTTCATTATGGTTGTCGGTTGTGTGTGCGTTTTGGGCGAGGGGAAAACAAACGCAGTGCACTTACAGTGACAACGGCGTCCTTGGAAATTGATTTTCTCGACCGGATGATCATTCCAGCCATTCGCTTCGACGTCTTGTTCTTCATGATGGCAGCGCACTCGCGACTCACTTCGGCTTCCGGTGTGCTGCACGCTGCGGCGGTCTGGCTGGCCAGCGCGATGGATCACACAGGGCTCATGCCGCGCTTCGCGCTCTTGAAATCGCACCCTTGCGCGTCGGATTCGCGCGAGCTGTCCCGCAGGACGTGCGCCATTAGACTGGTGAGTGTGGCGCGCGCGCCAGCGCCGACGAATGGCGTAACGGTCAAGGTCAGAACTAATGATTCACGACTCATCCTCACGCGGTTTTCATCTAACATTCGCCCAAAAATCCCCATTCACATAATTATTACTCAATCTAATCTGTATCAATAATAAGAAGATAAGTTTAGAAATGTTATACAGCGTAGATTCAAACGCGTCACTGACGTGTAATTGCGTATTTGTTTTGTGTGGCAAAGTCAATGTCACATTTTTATAGATGGCGCGCATTGCAACCCTTACAGCTGCTTGCTAAAGAACATGTCCGTTAACCTCCGCACATGTTCAAAACTTGCGCAAGTTACCGGTTGATTCGTGCTTACATCTTTTAACACAACTATTCACAGTAGACAACAAGCATGTCTTGGCCACAAATTGCGCTCGCGTTGAAAGAAAATCGCCGAGAACTGTGTCTCACAGGCAAAGAATTCAATGAACACTTGGAAAAGCATGGCTTAGATCCACAACTGTACACAATTTCATCGCTCAACTACCTCACCATTCACAACACTTCATTGAACAACATCGGGGATGACATTGCAAAATTAGACGCCCTGCAAACGCTGAGTCTACACTCAAATAAAATCACCAAGGTATGCAACAGTTTGGATAAACTAGACAAGCTTAAAGTGTTGGATTTGTCACACAACAATATTTCGGTGTTGACAATCAACTTCAATGCTCTCATGCACCTGACAAGTATTAATCTGTCCAATAATCAACTAGAAAGCATCCCTGATGTACAAAAATGTATAAAACTACAAGTATTGGACCTGTCACACAATCTTTTAAAGGAATTCCCAGCAATTTGTCATGACAGCCTCAATGTCCTCAGTGATTTACTGCTGGGAAACAATCAAATTGCAGACATTTCAGCTGATATCGACGTGTTAACCAGCTTGAAAAGTCTGGACATTGCCAACAATCAAATCACCCAAGTGCCTTACAACCTGGTCAACTGTGCCAAGCTAAAAGAACTCAATCTGAAGGGAAATCCAGTCAAAGACAGAAGATTGCTCAAGCTGATTGACCAATGCAGAACCAAACAAGTCTTGGATTATTTAAAACAACATGCACCCAAAGATACAGGTAATAAGGATGGTAAAAAGAAGTCCAAGGGAAAACAATCCGAAATCAAGTGTGAATTATCACTCACACCTTTGACTATTGATGATAACAAGCTAAAACTGCATCTGAAACATGCCAGTCTCGCCGATGACGCGTTGAAAGTCATCATTAAAGATGAAATTAAAGCTATAAGGCCAAATATTGTTTGCTGTTTGATTCATGGGCTGAAATTCACTGATGAAAGTTTCCGGAAGTTTATCCAGATGCAGAATAAGTTGCATGAGACGCTGTGTGAGAAGAGAAGTGCTGCAACCATTGCGACACATGATGCTAAAACTCTAGATGGCAGTGTGTTGATTTACACGGCTGTCAAACCATCAACGTTGAAGATTCGCCCGCTGAATGCGGTGAAAAGCATGAGTGGCACGCAGTTGTTCAATCAACTGCAAGCGGAGGCTGAACATTTGCGTCATGAGAAGAAACGCAATGTTTATTCGGGTATTCATAAGTATTTGTATCTCCTGGAAGGAAAACCAGCATATGCTTGTCTTATTAAGAAAACTCTAGCGGAGAATAGCGAAGCGCATCAGGAAGTTATTTCGTTTCCGCCTATAACAAACAGTGACATTAGCAAGGTAATTTTAATCATTATTTTAATATTATTAATTAAATTTTAATGTAAAATTTTATTTTATTTTAATTTTAGGTAACGTTAAACACCGAGTCTATTTTGTTGGAAGTTACTAGCCATACAAATGTACCGTTGACAAGAAAAATAGCCGATGTTGTTCTTCAGGAAACTGCTGTGTTGATGGGCGATGGATTAACGGTTGAACAGTTACGAATTGTCGATGTCGAAGGCAATTTGAAGAGTGTTTATCCGTCGAAGACCGATTTGAACTTCGACTCGGCCGCTAACATAGCGATTATTCGTGATTAGCGCACGGGGTTCTTTTGAATGTTAAGTTTAACATGTTAAATGACTAATTTATTTTGTTTAATATAGTCACAGGGTGTTCGCCCGAATCTATCCACTGCGTTTTCGTCCACGTTGTGCGATAAACACAATTTGTAAACTTCATGCAAGTTGTTGAGTGCTGCTAGGTGGAGACAGTTCTGGCCATCTTTTGTTCTTCTATGAATGTCAAACTTTTCATGAAGACACAAGTTTATCATTTCTAGATTACCAATGAATACAGCTAGGTGGAGAATGTTGTATCCTGACTTGTTTACTAATTCTTGCAGATTTTGCATATTTGGATACAGATTTATGATGTGTTTCAATGTAGATAGGTTTCTACTCAAGACTGCTTCATGCAGAGGATAATTTCCTTGATTACTTTGTATTTCCAGACAAGTTTCATCATTGAATAACTTGTAGAGTGTTTCAAATGCTTGGTGATGTTGATGTAGGGCAGAAATATGCAGGCAGGTGTTACCATTCTTTGTTTTCTTCCCTAGTTGAGCTCCATGTTTGCATAAAGTTTGAATAATATGCAAGTCACCTTCTCTGGAAGCTAAATGCAATGGTGTCCAGCCATCTTTGTTTTGAAAGTTGACCAGTGCTCCATTTTGAAGTAAAAGATCCACAAGTGCATGTCTTTTACTTGGGGAATTGTCTGTATTTACAACATGTTCTTGTAGTTTTGTGCATGCTAACATTAATGGAGTCCAATCTGCTTTTTTCAGAGCGTTTACATCGGCGCCGGAGGAAAGCAAAACGCGTGCAGCTTCAAGTCTACCAAATTGCGCTGCTTCATGTAGAGGTGTTTTGTTATCCTTATTACGACAATCTGGAGTAAAATGATCCAAAAGGTGCAGACACAATGTATGATCACCTTGTCTAGCAGCACAGTGTAAAATTGTATCACCAGATGCTTCGTATCTGAATGAATCAAGTGGGATTTCTGGATGTGATTGTCTGAAGATTGAAAGAAGTTGTAAGCATTCTTCGCTTTTAATTTCTTCGCCCTGTGTTAATGCGAGTATTCTACGAATTTCTACGTTAATTTTCTTCATTCCTTAACAATTTATTTACAAAGTAATTCTGAGCATGGGTGTTGTTTAAGTTGCCTACTTCTTGCTCCACTGTCACTCGCCAAGAATGTGTCATGCAAGCACAGTGTGCGATGTCGTGCGATAACGATACATAACAAACGCACCAAACTCTTCACCATTTACCAAATAACCCTTAATTCCAGCAATGAGCAAATTGCGCTAACGATTTCAACACGCCGCGCGTCGTATGGAAGGTGCCCGCACAAGACGATGACAAGATGGTGCCGTTTCGACGGAAGAAGAGCGCTAAAAGTTTTCCAGTCAAAGTCAGCTCGTTGGACGCGGAGCTAGAGTTTAACTTAGAAGTAAGTTTATTCAGCATGCCTAATTCTCAATGTTAATTACGTTTATGTTTAGTGGAACGCTACCGGTCGCGATCTCTTCGACCTGGTGTGTCGCACCATCGGCCTCAGAGAGACATGGTACTTTGGACTGCAGTTTGAGGACTCAAAACAGTTCATCTCATGGCTCAAGCTGGACAAGAAAGTGCACGATCAGATCCTGCAGAAGGACAACAAATCAGCCGCGAATTTCATGTTCCTTGCCAAGTTTTATCCGGAAGATGTCGCTGATGAGCTCATCCAGGAAGTGACACAGCATTTGTTCTTCCTGCAAGTGAAGCAGGCAATACTCTGCATGGATATTTACTGCCCACCAGAGGCTTCTGTCCTGTTGGCATCATATGCTGTACAAGCAAAGGTGAATTATGCTTAAAATTATTCCTATAAAAACTTAAAATGTTGATTTTTAGTTTGGCGACTTTGATGAAGAAGTATACAAACCTGGTATGTTAGCACGCGAAGAACTACTCCCCCAGCGTGTGATCGACCAGTATCAGATGACGCTGGAGATGTGGGAAGAACGCATTCGCGTGTGGTACGCGGATCATCGCGGAATGTCCCGCGATGAAGCCGAAATGGAGTACTTGAAGATCGCGCAGGATCTCGACATGTACGGCGTCAATTACTTCCCGATCCTCAACAAGAAAGAAACCGAGTTGTATTTGGGCGTGACAGCCGTCGGGCTGAATATCTACGAGAAAGAAAACAAACTGCAACCGAAGACGACATTCACCTGGGCCGAGATTCGACATATAAGCTTCGATGATAAAAAGTTCATCATCAAACCGGTGGATAAAAACTCGCCGAATTTTGTATTTTTCAGCCAGAAGGTGCGCATGAATAAGCTGATACTTGATCTGTGTATTGGTAATCATGATTTGTTTATGCGCCGGCGGAAACCTGACTCGATGGAGCTGCAGCAGATGAAGGCGGCGGCCAAGGAGGAAAAACAACGCAGACAAGTGCAGAGAAATCGTCTAGCGAGGGAGAAACAATTGCGAGAGAAGGCGGAACGTGACCGAGCCAGTATGGAGCAGCGACTTCTGCAGTATCAGGAGGAAACGCGATTGGCAAATGAAGCGTTGCGTAGATCTGAAGAAAGCGCTGATTTACTAGCGCAGAAATCACGTGTGGCTGAAGAGGAAGCCATGTTATTATCACAGAAAGCAACCGAAGCAGAACAAGAGATAACACGTATGAAGATGAGCGCGTTGCGATCGGAAGAAGAAAAAGTTACGCTGGAGAGGAAAACGAGAGAAGCTGAGTTGCTCACAGCAAGACTCGTTGAAGAGAGCGAGCGACGCGCGTTGGAAGCGCAGAAGTTAAAGGAAGAGTTATTACGAGCGCGCGCTGCAGAGAAACAAGCCAAGGAGAAGTTGCTGGAGTTTTTATCGAGACCTGCAGCGCCCTCCTCTGGTTTATTATTACCACCAACAAGTCCCTTATTACCGATGCCGGTGAGTTTAACTTCGGTTCCTCCGGATTTACTCGAGGTGGAATCGGCGGCGTTGGCGAGAGCATCGCCTGATTTGAACTTGAATGTGGCCGCGTATGATCTGATACATCACGTGGATGCTGATCAGTTGTCGCTGGAGATTGAGAAGGAGCGCGTTGAGTACCTGCACAAATCGAAGCACCTCCAGAATCAACTGCGTGAGCTGCGCAGTGAGATTGCTGTGCTGAAGGTTGGCGACAAGCAGGCTGCTGATCATATGGATAAGTTGGATAGGCTGCATGAGCAGCAGGTGCAGCAGGGCGATAATAAGTACTCGACGCTGCGGAAGAGTAAGAGCGGTACGACCAAGTCGCGTGTGGCTTTCTTTGAGGACCTTTAGTTATACCTGGTGACACTGCCGTCCACGTTTGTGTGCCTTAACTATGAACAAAGACTATTATGACTATCGTAATTACAATAAATCTATTTACACTTCATTTGTGACTTGTCATCATCATCATGTCTTAAAGACTTAACAGTCTGTGATTTGTGTTTGTTATATGATGAATTAAATTTGAATATCATGCGTCATCTAGATTTGGCTTATTGCATTTATGTGTGAAAATGCTAGTCATTTAGACAGAGTGGTGCATGCGCACTTTCGTGTACGTGTGTCACACGGACGCTGCTATTTAAGTGCGTGACCACTCACTGCCTCATAGACAATTTCGCACTGACACACATGTGCGCCCCACTGTTTGAAACACTTTGTTGCTTTGTGAGGTACTCTAAAGTGTTCTCAGATGGCGCAACGCTGTAGATTTATCGCGAAATATTCCAGCGAGAGCATTTTGTTTTGTTGCACCTGTGCGATAACGACGAGCGCACATTCCACACTTTCGGTTTGTGTTATTCGTTGTTACAAGTTCGGTACCTCGTGTTATATTTTCTGATAGCCGGTGATATTTAGTATTAATAACGTGTTTAATATTTTATCTGCTAATTATCGTGCGTGTAATCTTCGTAATTCGAAATTTTGCGCGTTTAGTTTATTCACGTGTTTGTGAGTCCGTTGCCGTCGGGCGACGGCCCGCGATATTTTGTGAATAATAAATTGATTTGTGAAAACCATTTTTGTCATCAACAGAGGAGCATGGATCATTGTGCTACCAGGTAAATATTGTCATTTCAATGATTATTATGCGAATAACTAGAATTTTAATTTAAAAACTGTGTTTCGACGGAACGCAGTTCATTTTAACATGGTACGAAATGCTGTAACTAATGTTTTGTTTCTCATTTATTTCAGTATCCGCCAACTCGTCGTCGATTTACCATCTTCCATAACTAGTAAGTAAAATAAATTCATTATTTATGGAAAGTGTTTGCCGCGTATGTTGTTGACTGTTATTTCGAGAAGATTCAAAAGACATATTCCTCACAATCATATCTTAATAAAGATTTATATATCACTTAAATATTTAATGTAAAATCTTTAATAATAAGAATTTAGAATTACTTAAATCGAATTTTAATTTTATCATTATTTTAATACTTAATTTAAATTAAGAGACTAGTATGTGTATCATCTATAGATGGCCATAGCATGAACTAAAAATCATTAAAGACTTGTTTATTTTTATATTTATCAGCAAACTTGGGCATTCAATACGAGAATTGTGTTTGCTTTGATTTACACTTTCTTATCGCTGTGCGAACAGCAACATCCAAATTTGCCGTGTGTTGTAGCCATCCTTTTACCCCTCGCTCTGTTAGTCTTTTAGTTTAGTTTAGTTCGCATGCATCGTGCCCAATGCAATTTGTGCACAGGGTCGCGGGCAGTTGTCGCGGGGCAATCATGCGCCGACTTGGCGCGATCGGGCAGCAGGTAGCCTTATCATTAACTGTCGCGACATTAACTGTTTGCTTCGCTGAGGTACAACATGCACTTTTTTAATATTTTGTCTTATGGAGAATTGAAATTTATTGCCAGAAAATTCCGTAACGCGAGTTATATTGATAGTTGTGTGTATACGCACTTGTACTCGTTGCGCTAGGAATTGTAGTTTTTTTGCTATAACCCGCGAACGCGCTATCATAGTTAATACGAAATTACGTTCCCTGGTGCAGAATTTAATTCCGTATCTCCCTGTATCAAAATTAATAGCTAGGAAATTCCGTAACGCGAGATATTCGCGATTGAAGAAAATGGGCAAAAATTGATAAATGTCACTTTTTAGCACTTTTAGTCGCGATTTTCTACCCTTTACTCTAGGGAATATAATTATTTTATATTTTTATCTGATAGACAATTTTCCAATCTTTCATAATCAACAATTCGTTGGTAGCTATCTCTTTTACTTTAAGAGATATGAATTTTTGAAAATCGTCGAAAAAAAGTATCAAGCACCCCCCCTTGGCAATTTTTTTCTTAAGACTTAAAATTTTATCTCTCATATTTGTCCTTTAACTATCCTATCTGATAGAGAATAGTCCGTAGATTAAGACGCTGCGATCAGATCCTAGTTATCTCTTTTAGTTTACGAGATGTTCGTGATTGAAGAAAATGCGCCGTAGTACTCGTTGCGCTAGGAATTGTAGTTTTTATGTAATAACACACGAACGCGGTGTCACACTAAGTTCGAAATCATTTTCCCTTATGCAAAATTTAATTCTGTATCTTTCTGTATTGAAATTTATGGCCAGAAATTCCATAACACGAGTTATATTGATAGTTGTCTGTGTGCGCCGTAGTACTCGTTGTGCTAGGAATTGTAGTTTTTTTGATATAACACACGAACGCCGTGTCACAATAGGTTCGAAATTATTTTCCCTTATGCGGAATTTAATTCTGTACCTCCCTGTATTGAAATTTTGTTTAAGTTTTGTTAAAACAAAATTTATTTATTTCTTTTATATATAGTTAAATTATAATTATAAGCAAATTTATTGCATCAGCCGGAAAAATGGTATAAAGTTAATTAATTTTACGAAAACTAATCCACATTTGACTTTCACTTTTGTGCACAAGCGTGGCTGGAAAGTTTAATGTTATACACCCGCGCAATATGTGCTTGTATTCCCCAGATCAACATCTCTTGTTTAAGTACAATTATTACATCATTCATTTTGTGCGCAAAAAATTACATTCGCGCAGAAAATAAACAATTCGGATTTGCGGGTTAATTGCTTGAACAGTTTTTAATTTTTGAACTTTTAGTATAATATATTGTGAGCGTACTCTTTTTGACATTTTACTTTTGGTGTATTGTTCTCGTTTCTTACATTGGGTTAGCATTGTCGAAGCCGGCACACCGGAGGATTACATGCTGGATCGGTTGTTGGCGATATTGCATAACACGGCGTGCTCGACGTTCGCGGCTCGGCATAACTCGAATTAAAGTGAAAGTGTGTACCATCTAATATCCACCTTGATCACCACACCGAACACTGCAGACGGACAGACAGCATGTTGCATAAACCAATACACAAGCCTATCTGACGTGCGAATTTTGAAAATTGCCAAATCTACACTATTTTCATCTACTCTAGTTTTTAGCCGCAAGCTGTTTGGGAGTTTATATGGTAATTTCCGGTGTCAAAATTCGGAGGAAAAAGTATCATTTTACACCGGCGTGGATTTTTTGTTTCGTTTGTTCGTTTCGCAAAGTTTGAATATTGTTGCGCCTCCTATTTCTTCAGCATCTTCTGCTCGCTGAGCAGCAGAGCTGAGCTCTCTCGCTCGCGTGCCGGTGTCCTTGATCGCTTTCTCGAACCGCATGTCCTACTTGCGATTAAGTAATACCGCACTGAGCTGTGTGCTCAGCGCTAACCGAGCGTAATATAATGAGTTATTACGCGAAAAGTGCGCAATTCACGACGAAAGACAACGAAGACACGTTGCGCGCTCGTGTAACACGAGCCGAATTTTCCGAATGTTTATCAACATTTTTGAGGTTTCACCACACCACAAATGCACAACACCGACGAATTGCTTGGGAATATAACATTCAAAACGTTTCTTTTTTTTTTCTGTTTCTTCTTCTCAAGTCTAGCAGCGGTTCTTTCTTACGAAGTTAAGAAACCAATTCGAAGGGTAGAATTTTTTACGGTGACAACGAACATTCTTGAGTAGCACCTCTTCTAGGTAACTGTCTGGCGAAGAGATGAGAAACGCATAGAATACTCAATGAGTAAATGGACATTAGTGCCAGCCAGGTAGAAGAGAGGTTTTCATCCCCTGTTTGATCATTTCCAGCGCACCTAGGCAGGTACCCATGACTGGCTGTTTTCACAAACCATTCAAGACCCTCAATACTCGTTCGCACACTAAAGAATTAAATGGAAATCTTATTCGATGATTGATTAAATCGAGCCGGAGCACACCGACAGCAACGAATTGTTTTGTGGCGCGCTTGGATGCGAGAAATTTCTCCACAGCGTGATGTGTGCTGAGAAAAAGTGGCGAACCGTAACCGTAAACGCATTATGTGTACGGATAGATGCGGGCGTCTAATTAAAGCCTCTCTCGGATGCTGGCGGCACACTCGCACGATGATGCAATGATGCTGGTAGAGTCCCTCCCGGTCGGACTCGTAAATTTTCGGTGCGTTTAAGTTTACGAACGTCTCGCACCCCGGTTCGCTTCTGCAATGCGCCGGCTATATTTAATTGCATCAATTATAACGAAGCAATGACAGGTTAACACAGCCGAGGCGAGCAACCGAGCCAGCGAAACCTCTATAACACGATGATGAACTTCTTTCTTCAGCCTACCAGAAGATCGTTGTTTCCTTTTCGGGCTTTAACGTGGCAACGTCAAAATTGTGAAAATACCCCTCGTAAGGGCCGACAAACTAGTAGCAGCAGTGGTGCACGTTAGGGGATGTTTTCCCCCTCTTTCACTCGTCGCGCTCCTGACTAGTCTCGCATTAACATCTGTCGGAAATTTCGGTGCGTTTTCTTTGTCCATGCACGTTGCAGCCAGGGCGAACGGAGAGGGTCGTGCCCGTGCTTCGGCGCCCTTTTTCCTTTTCGTGCTTTAGTACCGAACAGAACCAGCTATGAGCTGGAACTCGCGCGCGTTTCCTATCTATCAAACTCTCAACGTAACCGTATCGCGAATTATAGTGAAGTTTTAAACGAATTATTCTACAATTTCTACACAATAAATTAAAATTAATTGTTATACGAAGCATTGTGATGTTTAGTTACTTTACTGCTGCGATAGTAATTCTGAAGTGAGTGAGGTGATAACGTGCCTATTAGATGAATTAAATGCCTTCTTTATTATACTAACAAACGACTAATATTGTAAGTTATTGTTTAATTTATTACTAAACATTGCGCAATTTGCTTTTGTCTAAAGTTTTGAGATTGTTTTTTGTTCGTTGCGAACTTTTCTTTGTGTGTTTTCGTGCACGTGGCGCTATCTGGCGATCGTTGAGCTTTGTGAGTCATGCACAAAGCGCGCGCGCCCTTTCCACGGAGCGCTACAGGTAAATGGAGCAGGAAAATTTTCCGCTTTTCCGTGTCGTAGTTGTCACGCGTAGTTTCCGTGAATTTCGCACACGGCAATATCGATTCGACGCAATTAAAGGGCACGGCTTTCTTGCTTCCATGTCTCATCTATCAATTTGATGATTAATTTGTAGACGACGAGCTCATGATTATATCGTTAAAATGCGCGGGCACTTGGCGAAACCAGTACGACCAGTTGTCGGGTGGCGTCGTGCATGCGCCGCAGGATAACACCCCGACGAGTCCCCCCCGATACCCGGTGATGGGGGAACGCAATTCGTTAAATGTGCGCGCGAGAGGTCAACGCACCCCTGCGCGATATGAGCTGCATTGGCGCGCACACACATACACACCACCATACATAAACATCCCGCGCACGTTTCGTTTGCTTTGTAATCAGCAATTTGTTTACTTTCGAGTTTGTTTTTGGTTGCGCTAGCTTTCTTTCTCTGCTATGCTCTTTTCCCGGGCGTATTTTTGGCAACAGGTTGGCTTTACCATTCCGAGTTTCTTGTACTCTTCACTCGTAGGACCTTGTTGCAGCCGACGGCGGCGGCAGCAGCAGCCGTAAATCCAGCGGGGTGTTGCATACCACTAGCAACCCTCACGCGTTGTCATGACTACGTGGGCACCCTCGCTGCACATCGATCCGCCCGCGTCTCCCCGCGCCTTCACCATCCGTGCCAGACGGAACAAACGCTGGTCGGTGACATCGACGTTTCTGTTTAGCACTTCTCGATGCACCCGACGACCTCTAACGATTAGACCAGTGGTTCCAAATGGGGACCATTTGCGGTTGTGTTTTGGTGTCGTTTTTCAATGGGTTTTGTTTTCTTTTGCAGGGATGACGGTTAATTGAAGATGGCATCACCGACCCCGTCAATTGAATCACTACCACGTGCAAATTCAATCGGATCCTTCGGCGATCACGCCGACTACCTATCGCTATCTTCACTTGCCGATTCGCCGCTGACCGTGAGCGGATCGTCGCCACCCGTAAGCGATTCGGCCGAACGCGACCACGACTTGATTGCCGGCGGGCACGGAGGCGCCGCGTGTTGCCAGAACTGCCGCGAACCGGGGGCCGACGCCGCCCACCACCTACCTTGCTATCACGTTATCTGCGCCAGCTGCTACGAGAAGAACAAGTACACCTGCCCCCGTTGTCAAATTGACTCCATCGAGGGTATCCTCAGTAATATTCTCCTCGGCACTGCTGCTGATACACCGTTGCCGCTCTCCAACGCAGAGCATATCATCTCGCCGGCAGTGCGTTGCACCGGCTGCAAAAAGAAGAAGCTAGACGCGATCGCGCGCTGTTTTGACTGCGCCAACTATTTGTGCTCCAACTGCGTGATGGCGCATCAATTTATGCACTGTTTTGAGGGCCACCGGGTGCTCAACCTGGATATTAAGGACGATACGGGTGCTCCGCCAACGTCGCACAAACCCTCCGCCACCGCGATGGGTCAGAACGGCGAAAAGACAATGTCTTGCCCTAAGCACAAGAGTGAGGTGCTCAAGTACTATTGCCGTACATGCGCTGTACCAATTTGCAAAGACTGCATTTCGATGGAGCACCCCGCGGGGCTACACGACTGGGAGCATATTAATGATGCGGCGCCCAAGCAGATCGAGGCTATCACACATGCTATCCAAGAGGCCAAAACTAAGGCTACCGACATTAAAAATGTGATGAAGAACGTAGAACACGCTACCAGCCGCCTGCAAGTGCAATACCACAAGGCGCAGAACGAAATCAACGACACCTTCCAGTTCTACCGTTCCATGCTGGACGAGCGTAAGCAAGAACTCCTGAAGGAATTGGAGTCTGTTTTCTCTGCGAAGCAGATCTCATTAGGGGTAGCTACCCAGAAAGGGCAGGAAACGGTTGATAATATCTACAAGACCTGCGAATTTGTGGATAAATTGAACAAATGTGCCAGCGTGGTGGAGATCATCATGTGCCGCAAGTTGCTCGACAGCAAATTACAGTCATTGTTGAGTTTCAATGTTGACCAGAGCGTGCAACAGGCGTGCGATTTGGAATTTGTCTCCAATTACCAGGCTATTCAGGTGGGAGTGCGCAACACTTTTGGCTATGTTCGATCCAATTCAGAACCTGTGGTTGGCCCAAGCAAACAGCCCCCGATTGCTCGCCCAACTGGTGGTAGTGGAAGTGGTAGTGCCGGCGGTGGTTCCAGCTCCAGTGGCTCAAGTGTAAATGGCAGTTCCGGTAGTTTGAATGGTGGTATTGGAGGCGGCATTCACTGCCCCTTCACGATCTCCAGCTCTAGCCAGTCTACCTCGCCCTTTGAGTCTAACATCATCACAAAGCGTTTCAGTTCTGCGCACAGTCTAGGTCTATTCACCACTACCGTGGGTGATATGAACCTCAATGGTATCAACTCCTATGAAAAATGGTCCAATGGTGGCACTGATAGTATCTTCCAGAATGGAGGTGTCCCAGAACCGTACCATCTTACTGGTGGCGGCGGCGGGCAAGTGAATACTGATTTTGATATCACTTCCAAGCTGATGTCTACGACGATCTTCCCGCCCAAGTCGCAGATTAAACGCCAAAAGATGATCTACCATTGCAAGTTCGGAGAGTTTGGGGTCACCGAGGGCCAGTTTACGGAACCCAGCGGAGTCGCTGTCAATGCTCAGAATGACATCATCGTTGCCGACACGAACAACCATCGCATTCAGATCTTCGACAAGGAAGGCCGCTTCAAGTTCCAGTTTGGAGAGTGCGGCAAACGCGACGGGCAACTTCTGTACCCCAATCGCGTTGCGGTCGTGCGTACTTCTGGTGACATTATCGTTACGGAGCGTTCTCCGACACACCAGATCCAGATCTACAACCAGTACGGTCAGTTTGTGCGCAAGTTTGGCGCTAATATTCTGCAGCACCCGCGAGGCGTTACCGTTGACAACAAGGGACGCATCGTCGTTGTGGAATGCAAGGTAATGCGAGTGATCATCTTCGATCAGTCGGGCACCGTACTTCAGAAGTTCGGCTGCTCCAAGCATCTCGAATTCCCGAACGGAGTTGTTGTCAATGATAAGCAAGAGATCTTCATCAGCGATAACCGTGCGCACTGCGTCAAGGTGTTCAGCTACGAGGGAATCTTCCTGCGACAGATCGGCGGCGAAGGCATTACTAATTACCCGATTGGGGTGGGCATTAATGCCGCCGGCGAGATCCTCATCGCCGACAACCACAACAACTTCAACCTGACCATCTTCACACAGGATGGGCAGCTGGTATCGGCGCTGGAGAGCAAAGTGAAGCATGCGCAATGCTTTGATGTGGCGCTGATGGACGACGGTAGCGTCGTGCTGGCCAGCAAGGACTACCGCCTGTACATCTATCGCTATGTACAGGTGCCGCCCATCGGTTTGTAACTCGCTCCAGCTAGGCGGCCCCCTTCGCGTTACGTTCGGTCTTGTTGAGCAGCGTGCCCGACGCGCCGGCGGCATCGCACCATTCCGTCACACCTTTTGTTGATGCATTTTTAAGAATCGGAATGGCGCCGCCCGGCGTCATGGCGCGATTTGTACATTTACGTTTCATCTCTCCCCCCTGAATGCCCACCCCTCCCCAGTTTATAATGATAGTTTTGTAACGTTGATATCTATTTTTAATATTGTACGAGATGAGAAAAGTTTGACGAGAGTTTTTTTATTCGAAGCGCGCGAGTGTGCTTCATGAGCGAGCGGCCAAAAAATCTCTTTGAACGTCGGCGGCACTCGGCGCGAAGAAGTTATAAAACGTGAGGGCCATTTGTTGTATTTGTCGTAAAGTTTTGGCATAAGAAACTATATTTTACTAATGAGTGTACGGTGTTGTGAATGTCTCTCCGTAGCGTATACACGGTATGTAGAATAGCGCGTTGTTGTTTTTGGCGGAACTGATAAAGAGCCGCGTTGTTAGCTACCCCTAGTCACCCCTCGTACGAGCGCAGATGCAGCCCCAGCCCCCCACCCCCAATGAAGATGTGTAGCTCTGTATATCGGTCTAAATGTTTTAAACATAAGAGAAGTTTCGCGATAAAGAACATACACACACAAACACACTACATTCGCAGAGATGTGCAGAGTGGTGAATTGCGCGCATACGCGAGAACACGCGAACGAAAAAAAAGAAAGAAAGAAGAAAAGGTATTAGTATGGTAATATTGACATTTATTTTTTGATGATTTTGTTTTATTTTTTAGTTTTGTTATAATATTGTCTATTATTTAAGTTTGGAGGCGCGCGCAAAAACACGAGCATAACACTCACAAAACGAAATGCCAGAAACCGACGAGCGTGCGGTGCATGTTGCAATATTTTCTATATATCGCCACCGGATGCTAGTATGATTCTTTCTTTCACCTCGTGTCTCTGAATGATTATTCTATTATTATTATTATTATTATTAGTTGTAGTAGTTTGTAGTAATATATTGTTTGTTAATGCTGCCAAGTTTAAGATACGGCCGGAGGAGGGCGGAAGGCGCGTTGCATGTGACGTGAGTCCGCTTTCCTTCTTATTTGATTTTGATTGAATTTGACCAACTGTATTTTACTATTAGATAGGATTTCGTTTATGTTCACACACCCACATACACACGCGTACACGCACAGCCACTCAAGGGGGCGGCGGGGCACGAGGGGGGACGATGCCGGACGCTATGCGGACGCACCTTCCCCTCTCGCCGCTCGGACATTATTTATACACTACACACACACACACTCACCACACGAACACCTCCCCCGAGACGCCCTTTTTTAAAATTTATTTATGTTGTTATATAATCCTATTGAAGAATACGCGGGGGCTAAGCGATCTCATTTTTACTGCTCTGCCCCCACGGCGCTCGCCGCGAGACTCGAAACTATTAATGTGTAAGGCGATGCGATGATTGAATCGAAGGAATTGTAATTATACGTGAAACAAAAGGACTGCGGCGGCGGGCATGCGTCCGCCCTCTCCGTTCTCTCTCTCTCTCTCTATCTAAATAATTGTATCTTATCTGTTTCTCCATTATCATCGAAAGAAAAAAAAACTTAAGCAAAGCGGTGTCCTTCCGACAAGAGTTAAGTTGTTTTGCCGATTCGCACGCGCACGTGCGACCATCAATGGGGGCGCGTGTGCGTGCGCACTCGTCAGCCCCACATCCCCCTAAAAACCCCCAGAGTACACTCTATTTTTTCTACATTGTTCCTCGAAAGACTGCCTCGGAACGACACCGGCTCTGAGAGAGTGGCGGACCCCCGCCGGCACGATACTATATAGATTGAATTTGAGTTTTTGATTAGAAAAAGGAATTTAACAAATTTAAGCGAAAGCGCAAAAAGAAGTAAAAGAACCCATTTAATCAGTTAGTTTTTATACTTTGTTGTTATTATTATATTAGTTTTTAAATATGATAAAATTGTTCTTAAATTAAATTTGTACATTGTTTTGTTTTTGAATATTTTTGTTGTAAATGCTTTTTTAATTATAATAATACCAGTTCTGCAGTTTTCATTATAAACACGTTTTTTTGACGTTTTTCGAATCTCAAATCAAATTCTAACATTTCGCCGATTACTAACACGAACAAACAAACATCCCACAGTTTTTAGGAAATTCCGGATATAGGTATATAACAACAAGCGTAGATCTACACTTCTGTGTTTTCTTCCTGGTGTGTTTTTGATTTTTTTATTTTTATATTTTTTATTATTTTTTTGTGTTTGTGTTTGATTTTGTTTTGTTTTAGAAAATTGGTCTTCTCTGTATTGTGTGTATACTGTGTAGTTGAATCGTAGCACTCTTTCGGCGGCGGTGGCGGCAACCAGGTGCCAATCCTCGGCGGCGACGGCGGCAGGCGACTCGTTTAGAGAATATACTTTTGTACTTAGCGATGTAAGTGAGAGTGACGATATGATAATCTCCGGCCCCCGCCTTGGGGACGGCAGGCCGGCAGCTTTCAAGTAATTATTCGAACAATCTATCTTGGGCCCAACTAAGCAAGTTATTTATCCTAAAATGGAAGTTTATTACGATATTCTAGTTGTACGTCTACAAACCGTATATAGGCATGTGTGATTTAATGGTATTGATAGTCATTAGCTTCTAAGAGGTATAACAACATTCATTAATTATTAATTATTACGTATTATTAATCTATTAATCTTAAGATGGATATGGACGGTGTTGCCACACATACTTGCTCTTTCTATATCTGTGACATCTAATCTGGTAGTGATGATGTTGACGATGATGCTGATGCGTGACCGATCGTGCGGACCAAACTCATAAATAAAGGAAAACTGCAACAAAAGCAAACTAAAACATTCAAACGCGCCCGCACCCGCAACGCTGACGTGAGGATATGCATTTTTTCGGTAAGACTGATTCGAAACGCAAACATTTCTTGTAAATTTCTGGTAAAGCGCTAGTGATAAAAGGCGATCACGGGCGTCCAGCGCAAACAAAAACACTCAATTATTATTACTAACTACTCCACTGACCGAGAGAGAGGATAATCAAAATTCCGCAACGTGTGCCGCAAAGATCTGCAAACCGTATGACACCTTCACAAGCCGTCCGAACGCAGGCGCAGCAAAAAGCACAATTAACTCTTATTACTGATTACACTTATGAACTTAACTAAGGAAAAGGAAAACACACGACGCACCACAGCCGCGCGGACGCCCTGAAACACCAACGACGAGCTCGTCTTCAAAACATGTTTTACCTTCATGTCAATTACTCTAGGGAACATTTATCTATCTAAACATACGGATGATGAACAACAGTCAAAGCGCACTGCAAAGCTCACTCAGTTTCACGTTCAAGTTTTCGCCGCTTTAAAATGTCTCATTCCGACGCGATTTCTAGTCATTGAAAACCAAATTGTGAACAAAAAAAAATGAAGTATGTAAACACTCACTCACACACATTCCCGTCGCACAATATGTCTACATATGTCTCTTGTTAAATTTGAATTAAGTGTAAGTGGTTAATATTACTCGCATCGCACGAGACCGACTATAAAACTCATCATCGCGCAAAACGCGCAACATGTGAGAAGCACTAGGAAGAAAGAATCCCGAACGGATTGACACGATGATATTGAGAGTAAAATTTTTATACATTTTGCGCGAAATTGCTCATGTTATGTATGTATATTTACGGATAGAAATATTAATAACGTAGCCATGGTTAGAGACTTGTTGTTGTGCACTACTGTTATCGCGCCACGCCGCAGATTGTCCACATGAACACGCACCACATACACCCACACACACCAAATGCATCCACCTCCCCCTCATCACTCGCCAAAAATGGAAGTCCCAACAAGATACACGAGACATCGCATAGAACGAAACCTCTTCTAACAGACTGTGATTAACGGAAATGCCTTCCCAGACACGCGCATTGAAATCCCTGCTGCAAAATGAAAATTAAATTGTGTGCGAAATGTTGCAAATTGAATCATCATCGATTCTGTTATCGCTCTCTAAAATGTTGTAAAAACGGTTATTGTTGGCATTTTCCCCCCACTACTACTCATACACGATCATTGTTACACACAATTTGTTGTGTGCGATCGGTTACGAAGCGTTGAGCTGCAATAAACGCTTCTTAATCGACCGCCGCCCCCGCCATTAATAAATTTGAAAAAGAAAAATGAAACTGATAAGCGTGGTACTTGTGGCATCTCAGATAGGAGGCATCAGATCATAAACGAACACCAACGAAACTCAAAAGAAAAAAAACATCCCGCGTAATATGCATGTACACACACATAAACTGTTAATGTTAAACCCAAGGAAAAACCTAATTACTAAGTAGTACATCTATTGAAGTATATATTATTGTAAATGTATTGTATGTATTCATTGATTGAAATATTGAAACATATATGACTGTACTGATCACACCAAAACAACCAAAAAACGAGCATTCTCTAGACTTTTAAAAATATAAAAAAACTCAAAAAAAAAATTAAACGACGGAAGAATGGAATAACGTTGCTTGTTTGGCTGGAACTCGCGGACCAAAGCAAGCGCGGCCCGCGCGCCACCCGACCAAAAATTTGGAGCTGCTGTTTTACTTAAACTCTAAATCAAGAAAAAAAAAGCACACACTTTCACACAACTTTTGCGATTAACTAAGGAAACAAAGTAACTACAATTAAAGAAAAGAAATGATAAAAAATTTAAGCAACAGGCGCACCAAATGAAAAATATATTTTTACTTATAAAAGTCGCTTTGTACGTTTTTCTTATGCTGTTTTGCACGTGCCCGGCGCCTCCACCGCGAAAAATGTTACGATTTTGGAGGATTGGGAGTTTGGCGGAAGCGGGCGCGTTTTTGGTGGCCGTCGAGGATGTACACGCCATTCAGCATGGGAGTGCCTCCTTCGACGGTCTCGCCCGCTTCCAACACGGCGTTGAATTTTCGCGCTTAAGCTTAAGCACACACCAGATTAATTATACTCGTATACACATTGTACGCGTAATCGTAGTCGCTTTGTCCGTCATTGTTCCTGCCATAGGTCGCGCTGACAAATCTCACGTATATATAATATATACATATATCATATATATTTGATAGCAATAGTGACTAAACTGCGTGTGTGTTGTACTATTATATAATATTATATATACCGTATACATTCCATTCGGGCCTGCTTTGTGTAGCAGGTGGATCATCCTCACACTAAACACACACATATCCTGGCTGGCTAATTGCTTTTCATTCACTGAATTGGATTGTACACTAAGCTATACAAGTAAGCTACAACTATTACTAAGCAAACACACTAGGGTGATTAATTTAAGCAGACAATTGAGACATTCGAATTGAGACGCCCTGATAATGTGCTTCTTCTCGTTTTCATACACTCTAGACCTAGACATATTCGAAAATCGCTTGCTTGCATGCATGCGTGTGATGTGCTTCTATTTAGGAATTATATATAATATCGTAGAGAAACGTGTAACACGATTGTTGACGCTCTTTGTCAGCCTAAAACTATATACCGACATGAAACACACAAAAAGAAACAAGAATAACAACAACAACCACCACCACCACATAAGAAACATGTACTTTTTCTCAACTGTAAGACTGATGTTGTATTGTCTATATTTGCAAAATTGAAAAATATTAATCATGGCAATATATAAATATATTTTTGAGCTATGTTTGTTACATAGATTGTATTTATTATTAGTAGGACGAAGATAAAAAAAAATACTAAGAAAAACGAACGAACGAAAACACACGAACAATGTCACATGCAAACAAAGGTGGGCCTAGAAGTAAATTTTTCCGAAAAAAAAAAAAAGAATTTAATGAAATGACCAAATGCACCCGAATATCTCGACTCAAGCCACACATTCGTTCAATGTCAAACCGTAACTCGTTCTTCTAAAAGCAGACAAAAAACCAAATTGCGACAGTGGACAATAATGTTGATATAGACTCCACTCGTTGGCTTAATTGAAACGTTCTACCCCACACCCCCAAAAAACGCATATTACAAAAATGTATTTTCAAAAAATGTTAAAATGTTAAAATCAAAAGATGATTGAAAATGTTGAAAACTAATTGTAAAATTGTAAAAAACAGAAAAGCGGACATCTACCGCGCACAAAAAAAAAATAATCAGATTGTGTTAGTTTTACGTTTCTCAGATGTTTGACGCTATTATCTACTATTGTACGACGAGGAGGACGTGTAGGAAGGCGTTTATTTTGATAAATATTTGGCGGCGGCGGTGCATGTGTATATCTCACTTGATTATTATCGGAGCACATTATCTGGCATAAACGTAGGCATGTAAGCATTTCATTCCATGTATACACACTGTTAACGGTCCTGTTACAATATGAGAAATATCTTGATGATTTATATGTTGTAATATTTACTATATACGAGATGATAAACGAGGAGGCAGACAGAGGCGACAGAGGATATTTTTAAAGCGCGTCGAAATTATCGCAAGCTGCGCAGCGGGCGGTGGGCGGCGGCGGCTGCAAATTGCGCCATTACCATCTTGGCTCCAGACTGCTGCGGCCCACCCCCGCCGGCCGATTCGAGTCTTCGCCATTCGATGATTTGATCTGTTCTTGAGTTTATTGACGCATTGATCGCATTGGAAATATTGTCGGAGGTTTCTATTTTTAATAGTGGACAGTTTCTTGTTATTAAAACGATACATATATTGTATAAACTAAGTGTGCCTAGTCAATAGAGTTCAGGTCAATTTTACCAAGTAATTTATTAATATGGAAATATAGAAACGATGTTGTGGAAACGTTTGCGCCCGTCGGCGGCATTTATTATTGCTATTATTACTTATATGTAAGTGACCAAAAGTTGTTTGGATTTGTTATTGCGTTGAGCGACGGCGAGGCGAGGCCGGACGATGTTTGCGACCCTCTTACCACCCCCATCGCAACAACACCGCGACCACCCGCTCCCAACTCCCCGCAATCTCGGAGACCGAGCGCGACCAGCGCGTTTGCGTTTTTGCATTTGGATATTAATTTATACAACTATTATTAACTTAGTGTTTAACGAAAACTGTCTAATTGAGTACAATATTTGATGATTAAGTCATATCAGTTTGTTACAAGCGTGTATTTATTGCAGTGGTGTATCTAATAAAGCATTCTGTTTGCTTGAAATTATTTATTTATTACCCTACTCAAAACCAACTTCCTTGTAGAAACTTGTGGACTTTCAGGTGACTTCAACGGCAGCCACTTCGTTGACAATCCCACAAAGGTTGCCCCCAATGGCGATCTTCAAATACCCCTGATGGCCAAACTCCTCGCCCCATGAATTCCGTACTAAGTAGTGCGGAATTTCCGCTTCCAGATCATAGCCGACGATCTGGACGGCATGATTCATGAGGGCCGGATGCGACCCGCAGTGATGCTGTATCACACCTCCCAAGTAATTCTGCCAGCTGATGGCGTTCACGGCCACCGCCACCGGACCCATGCGGCCTAGACCCGCCAACAGATCGTCCTCTTTCCCAATCATATCCATGCAGACGAAATTCGTAACCCTCACGTCCGTTTTGCTTTCAGATGCAGTCGTAGCGTTTCCAACGCTTGTCAATTTTTTGCATTGCTCATCCCTCAAATGCAGTGGATAATCATCGGCCGGACGGATGGCGACGTCGTTATCAACTAGCCACTCGAAGAGGGTGCATATATCGCCGCCCCTGCAGCCGTTGTTGCCGTTGCGTGCGCAATCGATCATCTGCTGCGTGCTCAGCGGTCGCAGCTCTCCGGTGCGCAGCCAGTGCGCTGCTTCAATCGTCTCGATCGCGCTGAACGCCCAGCAAGCGCCGCACTCGTGCTGATTGTTCACCGGGGTGAGCGCCCCTTGAGTGCGCCAATCTATCTTGCGGGGTAGATTAGCGTCGGTAAAGTCGCGGCGAAATCTGTGTAGCTTTTCGTTGCTTCCCGCGTTGTTGGCTTGTCTCAACGCCATTCTTTCGGCGTAATTCTTCTGTAAGCGTAAATCCTCGAACTCACTTTGTAACATGTCCGAGAATGCGGTAATGCCGTACAGTGCGCTGGTTTGATACGTACGGTTTTTATTCATTATCTCAATCATTTCCAGGGATTTCTTTTAAAAACATCGATTGTATATTGTGTGATAATATGTATAATAAATGCTTACCTTGAATGCTAGAAATCTCTGTTGGTATTCCGTCTCATTCACATAACTTTTATTAAATTTATCAATAAAAAATTGAAACTCGTCTTCCTCCCAAGATTTGGGTCTAAACTTTGATAAAATGCCGAAAAACAGCAAACAACCTATGCAAACGCATGCGACTACGCCGGGACCAGTCGGCATCATGACTAAATCCGAGCAAATCATTATTTACATTTGGTAGAGACATTATTTATCATTTATTATCACTTGGAGCACGTAAGTTTATCAATTTTAATGCAATCAACGTATTAAGAAACAATCTGTTTGAAATTGGTTGCATCTAGGGATACTGAAAATGTTTTAGTTACAATTTCTGTTCAAGGTGGCAACACTGGTAACTTTGTACTTGACAGCGCTCGAACCTCTCTTTCTAGTTTGTCCGTCAAAATGGCAACCACGACGATATCCAAGAAACGCAAGGTAAATTGCTAAATAATAATAATTTCCAATGAAAATTTACTATATATTCCGCCTGGATTATTCACATATTACCAAATTAATTAAACAAAGTGCTTAACTGACATCGCAGCCACGGATGTGCCAGATTTTTTCGGATTGTTTTGAGTTAACCTAGAAGTGACTGTGTGGTTCATATTTACATGGATTCTACTTGTTTCGAAAACGAATTAAACATTAAGAAATCCAGTGCATTAGTGGTTTTCATGTTATTTTATGTTACATATCAGTGAGTATATCTGTGAATTCATTATTATTCTCTGTTGTAGTTTGTGGCGAACGGCGTCTTTAAAGCCGAATTAAACGAGTTCTTGACTCGTGAACTCGCTGAAGATGGTTACTCCGGCGTCGAGGTGCGCGTTACTCCAACTCGCACAGAGATCATTATCATGGCTACACGCACCCAGAACGTTCTCGGTGAGAAGGGTCGTCGCATTCGTGAATTAACCTCTGTTGTACAGAAGAGATTCAACTTCCTGAGAGCACAGTGGAGCTGTATGCTGAGAAGGTTGCTACCCGCGGTTTGTGCGCTATTGCTCAAGCTGAATCACTCAGATACAAGCTTATTGGCGGGCTTGCCGTTCGTCGGGCATGCTATGGTGTGCTTAGATTCATTATGGAATCTGGAGCTAAAGGTAGGTTTCAATCCAGAACATATTCATATTTTCAAATTAATAACAAATGCACCATAATATCTACAAGTAGAGCAAATTCCATTATTACATTCCTATACTTTTTGAAAATAAAAGTATATTGATACAAGTTTTGCCTTAATTTGGATTTTACAATTTTATAGTTTGTTTACAAATTGTATACATTTTATAAATGAATGTTCGTTCATTATTGGTTATCATCGTGGGGGTTATCACCATGACCTCGGTTAATTGAATCGTAATGGAAATGTAAAAATAAAAATGATTTCATGCAGAGCGTAGAATCGTCAGTCTACGCGCACATCTCATCGAATATCGATCAAAACCACGACGAAAATGTGTGCTCATACAATTAGCGTGACGTTATTAATAACGTGTATTGCTCTGATTGTGGTGGAAAGTTGTGATTATCCTACATTTAAGAATACTTCCATTACTACGGTTGGAGTACGCGGCGTTGACTTTGTCTCTGGCTGCTTGGAGCCAGACGGCATTCTCGAGAAAGCCTCCTACGTGCAGATCACAAACCAGAGCGTTCCTGTGTTGTACAAAGGCGCGATTCGTAATCTGCCCAACCTTGTCGACGTAGTGCTTGACAGCAATGGCATCATCGAGATAAACATGGAGGCGTTTCAAAATCTACCAAAGTTACGTCTGTTGCGTATCAAGGACAACAAGCTGGAGGTGATTAAAGTTGGCGTGTTCAATCATTTGCCGCTGTCGGAGTTAAATTTGGTGAACAACAGTATTTCTGTCATCGAACCGGGCGCATTTAGTGATATGCCAGCATTGGGCTTATTGAGTTTAGACCATAATAAAATAGCACATTGGAATGCTGAATGGTTTACAAATAGTCCGGAGATTACGGCGCTTAGTTTTAAGAATAATCGTCTTCGCACTATTCCGAGTGGTGCCTTTGTACACGTCAAAGGATTGCACGTGATCAGCGGTCGCAATGTGACTACGAATATTTACTTAGACGAGAATGAGATTGAATCGATTGATAAAGATGCTTTTAAAGGCTTGGAGATGTTGGGTTGGCTGTTTTTAACGAAAAATCGTCTACAGGAGATCGATCCGCAACTTCTAGCGCCGTTAATTTCGGTGGATTGGATTAAACTCGGCTATAACAAGTTGACTTGTGTGCCTGATGAAGTTATACAAAAAGTACCGACAATCGGGAATTATTTAGACGGAAATCCGCTCACGGATGAATGCAAGCTGAAATTGAACAAGAAACTTTAGCATAAACAATATAACATTTCATAAAACTTAATTTTATTATATTTAGACTATTATTTTTATTAGGTTTGTTAACTTGTTGACAAGTTATTGTTATGAGTGTTGACTGTATTTTGCTTTTGTGTTGCAGGATGTGAAGTCGTTGTATCAGGCAAGTTGCGCGGTCAGCGTGCCAAGTCCATGAAGTTCGTCGATGGGTTGATGATCCACTCCGGCGACCCGATCAACGACTACGTCGACACCGCCACGCGCCACGTATTGTTGAGACAAGGTGTGCTCGGCATTAAGGTGAAAATCATGCTGCCGTGGGATCCTAACGGCAAGACCGGCCCCAAGAAACCACTGCCGGATTACGTGTGCGTCGTCGAGCCGAAGGAGGAGATCATGCCGTCGCACCCCAGCAGTGACATCAAGCCCGTCAAGCCTGACGCGCCCCCGGTTGCTATTGGTGTTGCATAAATTATAAGAATTAAACTTTTCAATTAAACATTTTGAAAACAAATTTAGTTATGAGTCAGATTACTTCTGCAATTTGTTGATTGTAGTTGACTTTGTAGACTTCAGTTTTGTGCTTACAAATGGACCACAACCATTGTTTTAATAATTTTAAAGCAAACGTTTGAAAATTTGCTCTTGTTTTTAGTCGGATATCTGCGTTTTAACGAGAAAAGCAGCATAAAAACGAAATGTGCTTTTATGTATCAAAATCGAATTAATCAAAATGCTATTATTTTATACCGTTTGGAGTTGTAGGTTCCTGTTGAAACATGCACTCTAGCGACATCTGTACTCCAGTGTCTGAAATACTGCGATGTTTGCGAGAAATTCTTAGAGGGCGCTGTGATGGACTTTTTAACTAAAGGTTGTAAGTTTCGTATGCAATCTTAGTCAAACGTTCGAAGGTAGCGAGCATGCATCTCGCATTTTTTTTGCAGCGTGGTGCGTTCTTTGTACAATTCGGTAAACCGCGATATATTTAATCCACCTTTAATATATACGGTTAATAGTCGTTTGGTGATTTGCTAATGATTTATGGCATGTGAAAAGTTTCTAAACCTGAATTTGTCGTGTTTTATGTGCGGTCGTGCACATAAAACGTGCCGTTGGACGCCAACCGTTTGCACTGATTCTCATTTGCTATTTGGTAAATATTGTCATTAATATACTTACATCGAATATGTATCTTAATATCGAATATACGGAATGGTTTAACTTATCTTCCATGTTTTCTTTATTTCAGGATCTACTTTTCTTTGATTTGCGCTCTTCGATAAACTTGTAAGTAAAGAAATTAAATTATTTACAGTATTTATGGGTCATTTAGATGTGAAATTTAGTTCTTAGTTTGTATTTAAAACCAAGCGTTTCACACGACAATTGTTTTGTTCACGATGCGCTTATCTCCGTTTGTGTACAAACAACTTTTTTTGATTGCATTCAACGAACGAAATGCAAAATTGCCGTGTGCCGTCTTTGCCTATCCCTTCTCTCCGCTTCAATTCAGGCAAGAATGTGATCCATCGCGTGCGATTCACAGGCCGACTTTAGAATATCTTTTCTCATCTTATCTTATAGCCTTAGTATTCGCGCGACATCGCTGCACTCGGCATGCTCGCCATGTTCCTTCGGTGCACTGTGCATTGTTCCGCGAAGCGTATCGTTTTGTAAAATTTAATTCTATAAATCGCGTTGTATTTGATCGCTGTGTTTTTAAATGTATTAAAGTGCGTTTTTTAATTACGTTTGTCGTGATCTTAACGCCGGTTAACGTGTCCCAGCGCTAATTCAGCATTAGTAGCTATTTTGCGGGTTACTTCTAAACATATGGCAAACATCTAGCGTTCTAATTGATGATAATGCGGGTAGGTGAATAATTAAATCGTATTTAAAGTGAACTTTTATCAGCGATATGCATGTATTATGTATAAATAGTTTTTTTTAACGCGTTCATCGGACGTGCCACACTACAATAGATAGGTCGGTGTTAAGGTCAATCCGCGAATATCTATCAACTAACTTCGACACTTTGGGAATATTTGTGGTTTTTCTTCATAATTTTATAGTACAAAAGTTGTTCTTGACGGTGCGCCATGGTCATCCCCGAAATTACGCGTGAACTGTCTTAATCGTGTTTAAAATTCCGTGATATTAGTGCAATTTTTATATTTTGTGGCGGAAATCGGGATATATTTCGAAAATACTTTAAAACATATAATTATTTTATATTTTTATCTGATAGAGCGCGTTGTCTTGCGGCGTGCGCGCAGTATTATCGCATGTGGTCGCGTGCGCGGATGTGTTTCTCGCGAATGTTATCGTTTTATTTTTAGTTTGTAATTCGGTAAATCGCGTTCATTTCGATTGTCCATCGGCTGGATTTAGTTGTTCCTCACGTGTTTAGTGTTTCATTAATAGATAAACGGGTGTCGAATATACAAACTCGTTAATTTTCTTTGCGTTCGTTGTGCGTATTGCAGGCTGGCCGCGTGTTATCAACTTGTTTACACTGCAAGCGTGCATGGTGCAGGTAGCATGAACCTGCAACGCCTTGCAATGTGTGTTGTGATATTATCTCATTTATTTGCGGTCTCTCTGTGTCGTTGTGTTTGGTATTTTGCCCTGGGAACATGGACGATGTTCTTCGTGGAAACCGAGAAAGAACGGTAAAGTGCAGACTTCCTTTATTTTCATTTTCTGAAATTGTTGCTTGCGAGGGAGGCGGCCTAGAAATTTCCGTGCGGATTCTA